CCTCACGTTCAAGCTCACCCTCACGTTCAAGCTCAACCTCACGTTCAAGCTCAACCTCACGTTCAAGCTCACCCTCACGTTCAAGCTCACCCTCACGTTCAAGCTCAACCTCACGTTCAAGCTCAACCTCACGTTCAAGCTCAACCTCACGTTCAAGCTCACCCTCACGTTCAAGCTCAACCTCACGTTCAAGCTCAACCTCACGTTCAAGCTCACCCTCACGTTCAAGCTCAACCTCACGTTCAAGCTCAACCTCACGTTCAAGCTCACCCTCACGTTCAAGCTCAACCTCACGTTCAAGCTCAACCTCACGTTCAAGCTCACCCTCACGTTCAAGCTCAACCTCACGTTCAAGCTCAACCTCACGTTCAAGCTCAACCTCACGTTCAAGCTCACCCTCACGTTCAAGCTCAACCTCACGTTCAAGCTCACCCTCACGTTCAAGCTCAACCTCACGTTCAAGCTCACCCTCACGTTCAAGCTCAACCTCATGTTCAAGCTCAACCTCACGTTCAAGCTCAACCTCACGTTCAAGCTCACCCTCACGTTCAAGCTCAACCTCACGTTCAAGCTCACCCTCACGTTCAAGCTCAACCTCACGTTCAAGCTCACCCTCACGTTCAAGCTCACCCTCACGTTCAAGCTCACCCTCACCTATGTTGCGGAAGACGCAGATTTAGACGCAAGACGCTTGGCTACAAAATTTTCGGGCAGCCCGGAAAAAAAATTCCCGCGCGCGAAATTGAATTTCGCCATTTCGACGCGAAATTCAATTTCGCGTTTTTCAAACCCCTCCCCACCCATTTCGACCCCACAACCAGGCCCCCCAACAAATTTGAAGCCCCCCCCAGCAAAATTGAACACATACCACTCTTCACCACTCACTATCTACAAAACCCAACCTTTATGGTAAACCACCAAGAGGTTGGGGAGCACAAATCCCTCATTTGTGCTCCCCAACCTTCATTTCTCTCAATTCTCTTTCGAAAACCCTTAGGGTTTAGCTCTTTCCACCGCGCAAGCAACCATGGCTTCTTCTAGTGGTAGTAGATCTTCGTCTAGTAGTTCCTCCTCGGCGAGCGAGAATGCCGTCGGCGAGGGTGGAAGACATGGATGGAAGTTAAACTACATATGATGATATGTGATCACTTTTTTGAGGTCTAAGAATGGGGGAAAAAATGTGGTGTGGGGAAAAATACACCCCATTGTGATATAGGTGCATGTTCCCCACCCTCACCATGCCCCTTAGAACTTTTTTTGGTCTGCCCGAACTTTTTTTTTAGGCCTGCCGGGGTTTTCGTCTAGCACTGCGTCTAATCCGGCCTATCTAGCGTCTAGCGTCTTAGACGCTGCGTCTAGACGGACGCGTCTAAGACGCTAGACGCGTCTTCCGCAACATAGACCCTCACGTTCAAGCTCACCCTCACGTTCAAGCTCAACCTCACGTTCAAGCTCACCCTCACGTTCAAGCTCAACCTCACGCTCAAGCTCACCCTCACGTTCAAGCTCACCCTCACGTTCAAGCTCAACCTCACGTTCAAGCTCAACCTCACGTTCAAGCTCAACCTCACGTTCAAGCTCACCCTCACGTTCAAGCTCAACCTCACGTTCAAGCTCACCCTCACGTTCAAGCTCACCCTCACGTTCAAGCTCAACCTCACGTTCAAGCTCACCCTCACGTTCAAGCTCAACCTCACGTTCAAGCTCACCCTCACGTTCAAGCTCAACCTCACGTTCAAGCTCACCCTCACGTTCAAGCTCAACCTCACGTTCAAGCTCAACCTCACGTTCAAGCTCACCCTCACGTTCAAGCTCAACCTCACGTTCAAGCTCACCCTCACGTTCAAGCTCACCCTCACGTTCAAGCTCACCCTCACGTTCAAGCTCACCCTCACGTTCAAGCTCAACCTCACGTTCAAGCTCACCCTCACGTTCAAGCTCACCCTCACGTTCAAGCTCACCCTCACGTTCAAGCTCAACCTCACGTTCAAGCTCACCCTCACGTTCAAGCTCACCCTCACGTTCAAGCTCACCCTCACGTTCAAGCTCAACCTCACGTTCAAGCTCACCCTCACGTTCAAGCTCAACCTCACGTTCAAGCTCACCCTCACGTTCAAGCTCAACCTCACGTTCAAGCTCACCCTCACGTTCAAGCTCAACCTCACGTTCAAGCTCACCCTCACGTTCAAGCTCACCCTCACGTTCAAGCTCACCCTCACGTTCAAGCTCAACCTCACGTTCAAGCTCACCCTCACGTTCAAGCTCACCCTCACGTTCAAGCTCAACCTCACGTTCAAGCTCACCCTTACGTTCAAGCTCACCCTAACGTTCAAGCTCAACCTCACGTTCAAGCTCACCCTCACGTTCAAGCTCACCCTCACGTTCAAGCTCACCCTCACGTTCAAGCTCACCCTCACGTTCAAGCTCACCCTCACGTTCAAGCTCAACCTCACGTTCAAGCTCAACTTCACGTTCAAGCTCAACCTCACGTTCAAGCTCACCCTCACGTTCAAGCTCAACCTCACGTTCAAGCTCAACCTCACGTTCAAGCTCAACCTCACGTTCAAGCTCACCCTCACGTTCAAGCTCAACCTCACGTTCAAGCTCACCCTCACGTTCAAGCTCAACCTCACGTTCAAGCTCACCCTCACGTTCAAGCTCACCCTCACGTTCAAGCTCAACCTCACGTTCAAGCTCACCCTCACGTTCAAGCTCACCCTCACGTTCAAGCTCAACCTTACGTTCAAGCTCACCCTCACTTTCAAGCTCAACCTCACGTTCAAGCTCACCCTCACGTTCAAGCTCACCCTCACGTTCAAGCTCACCCTCACGTTCAAGCTCAACCTCACGTTCAAGCTCACCCTCACGTTCAAGCTCAACCTCACGTTCATGCTCACCCTCACGTTCAAGCTCAACCTCACGTTCAAGCTCACCCTCACGTTCAAGCTCAACCTCACGTTCAAGCTCAACCTCACGTTCAAGCTCAACCTCACGTTCAAGCTCACCCTCACGTTCAAGCTCAACCTCACGTTCAAGCTCACCCTCACGTTCAAGCTCAACCTCACGTTCAAGCTCACCCTCACGTTCAAGCTCACCCTCACGTTCAAGCTCACCCTCACGTTCAAGCTCACCCTCACGTTCAAGCTCAACCTCACGTTCAAGCTCACCCTCACGTTCAAGCTCACCCTCACGTTCAAGCTCACCCTCACGTTCAAGCTCAACCTCACGTTCAAGCTCACCCTCACGTTCAAGCTGAACCTCACGTTCAAGCTCACCCTCACGTTCAAGCTCAACCTCACGTTCAAGCTCACCCTCACGTTCAAGCTCAACCTCACGTTCAAGCTCACCCTCACGTTCAAGCTCACCCTCACGTTCAAGCTCACCCTCACGTTCAAGCTCAACCTCACATTCAAGCTCACCCTCACGTTCAAGCTCACCCTCATGTTCAAGCTCAACCTCACGTTCAAGCTCACCCTCACGTTCAAGCTCACCCTCACGTTCAAGCTCAACCTCACGTTCAAGCTCACCCTCACGTTCAAGCTCACCCTCACGTTCAAGCTCACCCTCACGTTCAAGCTCAACCTCACGTTCAAGCTCACCCTCACGTTCAAGCTCAACCTCACGTTCAAGCTCACCCTCACGTTCAAGCTCAACCTCACGTTCAAGCTCACCCTCACGTTCAAGCTCAACCTCACGTTCAAGCTCAACCTCACGTTCAAGCTCACCCTCACGTTCAAGCTCACCCTCACGTTCAAGCTCAACCTCACGTTCAAGCTCAACCTCACGTTCAAGCTCAACCTCACGTTCAAGCTCACCCTCACGTTCAAGCTCAACCTCACGTTCAAGCTCAACCTCACGTTCAAGCTCACCCTCACGTTCAAGCTCAACCTCACGTTCAAGCTCAACCTCACGTTCAAGCTCACCCTCACGTTCAAGCTCAACCTCACGTTCAAGCTCAACCTCACGTTCAAGCTCAACCTCACGTTCAAGCTCACCCTCACGTTCAAGCTCAACCTCACGTTCAAGCTCACCCTCACGTTCAAGCTCAACCTCACGTTCAAGCTCACCCTCACGTTCAAGCTCAACCTCATGTTCAAGCTCAACCTCACGTTCAAGCTCAACCTCACGTTCAAGCTCACCCTCACGTTCAAGCTCAACCTCACGTTCAAGCTCACCCTCACGTTCAAGCTCAACCTCACGTTCAAGCTCACCCTCACGTTCAAGCTCACCCTCACGTTCAAGCTCACCCTCACCTATGTTGCGGAAGACGCAGATTTAGACGCAAGACGCTTGGCTACAAAATTTTCGGGCAGCCCGGAAAAAAAATTCCCGCGCGCGAAATTGAATTTCGCCATTTCGACGCGAAATTCAATTTCGCGTTTTTCAAACCCCTCCCCACTTATTTCGACCCCACAACCAGGCCCCCCAACAAATTTGAAGCCCCCCCCAGCAAAATTGAACACATACCACTCTTCACCACTCACTATCTACAAAACCCAACCTTTATGGTAAACCACCAAGAGGTTGGGGAGCACAAATCCCTCATTTGTGCTCCCCAACCTTCATTTCTCTCAATTCTCTTTCGAAAACCCTTAGGGTTTAGCTCTTTCCACCGCGCAAGCAACCATGGCTTCTTCTAGTGGTAGTAGATCTTCGTCTAGTAGTTCCTCCTCGGCGAGCGAGAATGCCGTCGGCGAGGGTGGAAGACATGGATGGAAGTTAAACTACATATGATGATATGTGATCACTTTTTTGAGGTCTAAGAATGGGGGAAAAAATGTGGTGTGGGGAAAAATACACCCCATTGTGATATAGGTGCATGTTCCCCACCCTCACCATGCCCCTTAGAACTTTTTTTGGTCTGCCCGAACTTTTTTTTTAGGCCTGCCGGGGTTTTCGTCAAGCACTGCGTCTAATCCGGCCTATCTAGCGTCTAGCGTCTTAGACGCTGCGTCTAGACGGACGCGTCTAAGACGCTAGACGCGTCTTCCGCAACATAGACCCTCATGTTCAAGCTCACCCTCACGTTCAAGCTCAACCTCACGTTCAAGCTCACCCTCACGTTCAAGCTCAACCTCACGTTCAAGCTCACCCTCACGTTCAAGCTCACCCTCACGTTCAAGCTCAACCTCACGTTCAAGCTCAACCTCACGTTCAAGCTCAACCTCACGTTCAAGCTCACCCTCACGTTCAAGCTCAACCTCACGTTCAAGCTCACCCTCACGTTCAAGCTCACCCTCACGTTCAAGCTCAACCTCACGTTCAAGCTCACCCTCACGTTCAAGCTCAACCTCACGTTCAAGCTCACCCTCACGTTCAAGCTCAACCTCACGTTCAAGCTCACCCTCACGTTCAAGCTCAACCTCACGTTCAAGCTCAACCTCACGTTCAAGCTCAACCTCGCGTTCAAGCTCAACCTCACGTTCAAGCTCACCCTCACGTTCAAGCTCAACCTCACGTTCAAGCTCACCCTCACGTTCAAGCTCAACCTCACGTTCAAGCTCACCCTCACGTTCAAGCTCAACCTCACGTTCAAGCTCACCCTCACGTTCAAGCTCACCCTCACGTTCAAGCTCACCCTCACGTTCAAGCTCAACCTCACGTTCAAGCTCACCCTCACGTTCAAGCTCAACCTCACGTTCAAGCTCACCCTCACGTTCAAGCTCAACCTCACGTTCAAGCTCACCCTCACGTTCAAGCTCACCCTCACGTTCAAGCTCACCCTCACGTTCAAGCTCAACCTCACGTTCAAGCTCACCCTCACGTTCAAGCTCACCCTCACGTTCAAGCTCAACCTCACGTTCAAGCTCACCCTTACGTTCAAGCTCACCCTCACGTTCAAGCTCAACCTCACGTTCAAGCTCACCCTCACGTTCAAGCTCACCCTCACGTTCAAGCTCACCCTCACGTTCAAGCTCACCCTCACGTTCAAGCTCACCCTCACGTTCAAGCTCAACCTCACGTTCAAGCTCAACTTCACGTTCAAGCTCAACCTCACGTTCAAGCTCACCCTCACGTTCAAGCTCAACCTCACGTTCAAGCTCAACCTCACGTTCAAGCTCAACCTCACGTTCAAGCTCACCCTCACGTTCAAGCTCAACCTCACGTTCAAGCTCACCCTCACGTTCAAGCTCAACCTCACGTTCAAGCTCACCCTCACGTTCAAGCTCACCCTCACGTTCAAGCTCAACCTCACGTTCAAGCTCACCCTCACGTTCAAGCTCACCCTCACGTTCAAGCTCAACCTTACGTTCAAGCTCACCCTCACTTTCAAGCTCAACCTCACGTTCAAGCTCACCCTCACGTTCAAGCTCACCCTCACGTTCAAGCTCACCCTCACGTTCAAGCTCAACCTCACGTTCAAGCTCACCCTCACGTTCAAGCTCAACCTCACGTTCATGCTCACCCTCACGTTCAAGCTCAACCTCACGTTCAAGCTCACCCTCACGTTCAAGCTCAACCTCACGTTCAAGCTCAACCTCACGTTCAAGCTCAACCTCACGTTCAAGCTCACCCTCACGTTCAAGCTCAACCTCACGTTCAAGCTCACCCTCACGTTCAAGCTCAACCTCACGTTCAAGCTCACCCTCACGTTCAAGCTCACCCTCACGTTCAAGCTCACCCTCACGTTCAAGCTCACCCTCACGTTCAAGCTCACCCTCACGTTCAAGCTCACCCTCACGTTCAAGCTCAACCTCACGTTCAAGCTCACCCTCACGTTCAAGCTGAACCTCACGTTCAAGCTCACCCTCACGTTCAAGCTCAACCTCACGTTCAAGCTCACCCTCACGTTCAAGCTCAACCTCACGTTCAAGCTCACCCTCACGTTCAAGCTCACCCTCACGTTCAAGCTCACCCTCACGTTCAAGCTCAACCTCACGTTCAAGCTCACCCTCACGTTCAAGCTCACCCTCACGTTCAAGCTCAACCTCACGTTCAAGCTCACCCTCACGTTCAAGCTCACCCTCACGTTCAAGCTCAACCTCACGTTCAAGCTCACCCTCACGTTCAAGCTCAACCTCACGTTCAAGCTCAACCTCACGTTCAAGCTCAACCTCACGTTCAAGCTCACCCTCACGTTCAAGCTCAACCTCACGTTCAAGCTCACCCTCACGTTCAAGCTCAACCTCACGTTCAAGCTCACCCTCACGTTCAAGCTCACCCTCACGTTCAAGCTCACCCTCACGTTCAAGCTCACCCTCACGTTCAAGCTCACCCTCACGTTCAAGCTCACCCTCACGTTCAAGCTCAACCTCACGTTCAAGCTCACCCTCACGTTCAAGCTGAACCTCACGTTCAAGCTCACCCTCACGTTCAAGCTCAACCTCACGTTCAAGCTCACCCTCACGTTCAAGCTCAACCTCACGTTCAAGCTCACCCTCACGTTCAAGCTCACCCTCACGTTCAAGCTCACCCTCACGTTCAAGCTCAACCTCACATTCAAGCTCACCCTCACGTTCAAGCTCACCCTCACGTTCAAGCTCAACCTCACGTTCAAGCTCACCCTCACGTTCAAGCTCACCCTCACGTTCAAGCTCAACCTCACGTTCAAGCTCACCCTCACGTTCAAGCTCACCCTCACGTTCAAGCTCACCCTCACGTTCAAGCTCAACCTCACGTTCAAGCTCACCCTCACGTTCAAGCTCAACCCCACGTTCAAGCTCACCCTCACGTTCAAGCTCAACCTCACGTTCAAGCTCACCCTCACGTTCAAGCTCAACCTCACGTTCAAGCTCACCCTCACGTTCAAGCTCACCCTCACGTTCAAGCTCACCCTCACGTTCAAGCTCACCCTCACGTTCAAGCTCACCCTCACGTTCAAGCTCACCCTCACGTTCAAGCTCACCCTCACGTTCAAGCTCACCCTCACGTTCAAGCTCACCCTCACGTTCAAGCTCACCCTCACGTTCAAGCTCACCCTCACGTTCAAGCTCACCCACACGTTCAAGCTCACCCTCACGTTCAAGCTCACCCTCACGTTCAAGCTCACCCTCACGTTCCTCACGTTCAAGCTCACCCTCACGTTCAAGCTCACCCTCACGTTCAAGCTCACCCACACGTTCAAGCTCACCCTCACGTTCAAGCTCACCCTCACGTTCAAGCTCACCCTCACGTTCAAGCTCACCCTCACGTTCAAGCTCACCCTCACGTTCAAGCTCACCCTCACGTTCAAGCTCATACTCACGTTCAAGCTCACCCTCACGTTCAAGCTCACCCTCACGTTCAAGCTCACCCTCACGTTCAAGCTCACCCTCACGTTCAAGCTCACCCTCACGTTCAAGCTCACCCTCACGTTCAAGCTCACCCTCACGTTCAAGCTCACCCTCACGTTCAAGCTCACCCTCACGTTCAAGCTCACCCTCACGTTCAAGCTCACCCTCAAGTTCAAGCTCACCCTCACGTTCAAGCTCACCCTCACGTTCAAGCTCACCCTCACGTTCAAGCTCACCCTCACGTTCAAGCTCACCCTCACGTTCAAGCTCAACCTCACGTTCAAGCTCACCCACACGTTCAAGCTCACCCACACGTTCAAGCTCACCCTCACGTTCAAGCTCACCCTCACGTTCAAGCTCACCCTCACGTTCAAGCTCACCCTCACGTTCAAGCTCACCCTCACGTTCAAGCTCACCCTCACGTTCAAGCTCACCCTCACGTTCAAGCTCACCCTCACGTTCAAGCTCACCCTCACGTTCAAGCTCACCCTCACGTTCAAGCTCACCCTCACGTTCAAGCTCACCCTCACGTTCAAGCTCACCCTCACTACCCTCATCACCCTCACCCTCAGGGTTAGGGTGCATTCGTATGTCGACGCGTCTTCAGAACTTCGTCACAAACGTTATTCACGACTTGTTGTGATGCTCCAAAACCATGAACAGTGAATTTCTAACCACCATTGTTGCATGTGTCCCGTTGTGGCCATGATTTGTAACATGTGCGACCATCTTTCTTTCTTTATTCTTTTTGTGACCAGAGTTCAGAACGGTCGTTTTGTTTAGTGGCCGTAAATAACGGATAGATTGTACAGAAACCGTATTTTTGAACTTGCTCACCCTCCTCCTCACACTCACCCTTCTCACTCACCCTCCCTTCACCCTAGGCATGAGCGAAACCCGAACACATGTCGAACACCTCTTAGGGCCGAACCTAACATGTTCGCCTCGTCCCGACTCCCCGAGCAGGGCTTATTTCTAATTGTGGCTCATTTGGAAACCCTGATTTTCAGGCTAGTTCCTGCCGATCACTTTTAACGATCAGGGTTTCCCATTTTCCAAAAGGAAGGGCCTGGTGGTAGGGGAAGGTCGCACGGCAGAGCTACTTACTTGGAGAGAGATTGAGCTCAAGAATGAGCTCAACCTCTCTGGCTGTCGAAGTGAAAATCGCTGCCAGCGATTATGCGCAGCTCATTCTCGAGCGCGACCCAAGTCGTTTATGCGCAGCTCATTCTTGAGCGCGACCCAAGTCGCTTATGCGCAGCTCAACCTCACTGTACATGCTCCAACTCCCACCCTCATCCCCCGCACCATCACCCCCTATCAGCCAAGAAGCTGCGGCTGTATGCGCGCAGCAGCGTGTGGATCTCCTCTGAGGGAGCAGCTGTCATGAGTGTCACGTCCCGCCAACACTTGGATGTGAGTGGAGAGTGGTGCTGCTGTGAGTGGCTCCGGTGCAGAGTGGTGATGTGGGTGGGGGGTTGGGGTGCGGTGCTGTCACTCTGGTGAATCTTGTCTGAGGGAGCAGCAGTCATGAGTGTCACGTCCAGCCAATACTTGGATGTGAGTGCCCCGTGGTGGTGTGAGTATTGAGATGTCTCAACACAGGTTTTAATACTCTGAAATCTTCCATCTGTCGGATTATATGGTAGCATTCTAGGCTTTTGGGACTGTAGACCGAGAATGTAGCACTCATGACAGGCAACATCCTCCTTTTCTCTGCTCTCCTCTCCCCTTTTCCCCTCTCCACTCCTCTCCTCTCCTTCCTCTCCTCTCCTCTCCACTCCTCTCCTCCCTCTTCTCTCTTCTCCTCCCCACTCCTCCCCTTTCCTCTCCTCTCCTCTCCTCTCCGCTCAACTCCGCTCCTCTCCTCTCATCTCCTTGCCTCTCTCAACCCCGCCCCACCCCTCTCTCCTCTCTTCCAGGGCCCTCATCATCACAGCCAGTTGCATATTCTCCTCTTCCTCTCTCCTGGCCTCTCTCAACCCCACTCCACCGCTCTCTCACCCTTGGATCACAGGGCCTAATCATCACAGCCACCCACGTGCCCTTCTCCCCGCACCTCTCATCCTTCCTTGATCGCTGGAAGCACCTCAATGCCTCACTGTACCCCGGACTCTCCATAGAGGTACACTACACCTTATGCTCGTTATAAGCTAATGTGTGAGATTCTTCAGTAGCAAGCACCTCAATGCCTCACAGTGCCCTGGACTATCCATAGAGGTACACTATACCTTATGCTCGTTATAAGCTAGGGTGTGAGATTCTTCATTAGCACCTCAATGCCTCACTAACAGTACCCTGGGCTCACGATGGAGGTTGTTCTTCATGATCTAATGTCTGCTGTTAAAGAATTGCCACTGAGACACTTAAAGAATTGCCACCACTCATGAACAAATCTTTTTGTAGCTGCATCTTGCTTTTTTATGATCTTTGCTCCTCTGCTTAGGTATTGCCATCCTGCTCCTGACAATTACTGCTATATCCCCTTCCCTTCCACACACCTCCCTCTCCTCTCCTCTCATCCCACGATGCTGTCAGTCACCCTCAAAATGCACACTTGCGCCGTCCTCTCAATCCTTCTGTCCTCCATACCTCCCTCTCAACCCTCCCTCACACCTGCCTCCCAACGCCCGCCATGCCAGAGGCCATCCCCATACGCGCTCTCATCCCATGATGCTGTCACCCTCGTCGCACGCGCGCTCCACTCTCTGCTCTACCCCTCCCCTCCTGCATCGACCAACTCCTCCTCTCGTGCACTCAAGCAGACGCAGCAGCAGAATATAAGCCAGCAGCAAGAGGGGCAGCAGCAAAAGAGAGTGCAGCAGCAAGCAGGGCAGCAGGAAGAGGGGGTGGGGGGGGATTCCAGCAGCTGGAGCTGCCTGTGCTGCCTCTGCTTCCCAATGGCACCCAGGATACGCTTGCCCCACCACTCACCCGCCTCCAACAAAGTGCAAGTATGCTGCGCCTTGCTTCATGCGCCCAGCCCCATGCGTCCTGTCCCATTCGTCCTGCCCCATGCGCCCTGCCCCATGCGTCCTGCCCCATGCGCCCTGCCCCATGCGTCCTGCCCCATGCGCCCTGCCCCATGCACCCTGCCCCCCACATGCGCCTTGCCCCACCCACCACTCACCCACCTTCAACAAAGTGCAAGTATGCTGCGTCTTGCCCCGTGCGCCTTTGCCCCATGTCCCATAGTATGCTATGCTGAATGCAAAGTTTTGAGACGTCTCAAAACAACTCTTTTATCACGTGGTATGCTGAATGCAAAGTTTTGAGACGTCTCAAAACAACTCTTTTATCACGTGGTATGCTGAATGCAAAGTATACCTGACAGCCACATGCACGTTGCTCCCTCCTGTGCTCACCTCCCCTGCCCTCCTGTGCTCACCTCCCCTGCCCTCCTGTGCTCACCTCCCCTGCCCTCCTGTGCTCACCTCCCCTGCCCTCCTGTGCTCACCTCCCCTGCCCTCCTGTGCTCACCTCCCCTGCCCTCCTGTGCTCACCTCCCCTGCCCTCCTGTGCTCACCTCCCCTGCCCTCCTGTGCTCACCTCCCCTGCCCTCCTGTGCTCACCTCCCCTGCCCTCCTGTGCTCACCTCCCCTGCCCTCCTGTGCTCATGACCCTACGTGATCTCTGCGCCCACCCACTTTGGAAAAAAAAGTGCTACTGTGCTGCTCTGCTTCTCTGCTGCTGTGCTGCTGTTCTGGTCTGCTGCTGTGCCTTCCATTGGTGAAACCCTGGCCGCGCTGCTCTCAAGCTTATGCTTTCCCTGCGCTGCTGCTCCAATGCTAGCCCGCTGTGCTCCAACCCAACGACGACAGTGGGACCTGCACTGCGTGAGAGGTGCTTCTCAAGACCAGCTTTGACGGCCTGCAGGGGGCAGTGTCGACTCCCTCCTCACCTCTTTATTGCCTGTGAAGTGAAAAACGCGTTTCTTGATCTTTGCCCCGTGCTGCTCCAATGCTTGCCCGCCCCGTTTCATCCCAACCCAACCCAACCCAACCCAAACACAGTGGGACCGGCACTGCGCAAGGCTCTTCTCAAGACCAGCTTCGACGGCCTGCAGGGCAGGTAAGGCGTGTTGAGGGGAAAGGGGGTGTTTGCGAGGAGTCTGGGGAGGGGAGTGTGGGGAGGGGTTTCGGTCCTCCTGCTACCCCTCCCACGCTCACACTCCAATGCTCTCAACCGTTTTGCACCCGTGCATCAACCCCACATGGCAACTTGGCAGCAAACAAGATCCGAATTTTCAACATGCAGAGCGGGGCGCCTGTGGATTTTGAGAATTCTCAAAAACCGGCGCCTGTGGAAGTGGCCCTCTGGTCCTCCTCCCTCGGCCTCGTCCCCCCCTCCTTGTGCCTTCCACCTCTTTTCCTCGTCCCCCCTCACTTTCCCCCTCGGACACTTCCTCCTTCCTCCTCTCCCCATTGCCTCGCTTTCCGTTCCCTCAATCACCCCTGCCCTGCCTCCCTTTCCCCCTCTCCTCCCAGAATCGCGTTAACCCCACATGGCGACCTGGCAACAAACGAGATTCGCATTTTCAACATGCAGAAAGGGGCGGCTGTAGAAGTGGCTCTCTGGTCCTCCACCCTTGGCCTCGTTCCCTCCTCCTCCCGCCCACCTCGCCAATCCGCCCCACCCTCCACCGCTTCCCCTGCCCCGCGCCCAGCGCCAGTCGCAGGCCCCAGCACACAGGTTCGTCGGTCTCTACCCCTCCTCCCGCCCACCGCCCCGAACCTTCCCACCTTCCCCGCCTTTCACCGCTTCCCCTGCCATGCGCCCAGCACCTGTCGCAGGCCCCCAGCTCACAGGTTAGTCAGTCTCGTCTCCTCCTCCCGCCCACCGCCCCCGACCTTTCCCACCTTCCCTCCCTTACCCACCTTCCCTCCCCCGCTTTTCTCCCAGGCCTGGTAGCAGGCCCCAGCACACAGGCTAGTCGCCCTCCCTTTGCCTCCTGCCCTCCCGCCCACCCTCCCGACTCTCCCCATCCCACCCTCCTAACGGTGGGACCCCACCTTCCCTCCCCCGCTTCCCCTGCGTCGAGCTCAGGCTTACTTCTAACCTTCAGCTCACAAGTCAGGTCAGGACTAACCTGTATGGTTTAGGCAGGTTTAGGCTTGGTTTGTCCTATGACCTATGGTAGCTAACTACGCCTGGGCGAGCGAGTGGCACCGCTTCTCACACACACCAACGTGACGGATTGTTTGGACAGATCAGTGCAAGGCAGAGCCCTTGTAACTGGCAGAGCCCTTCTAACTGGTGATTCGTGTGAATTCTCAAAAAACATAGAGCCCTTCTAACTTGTGATTCATTCTTCTAAGTGCTGTTGCGTTCCTGTTTAATCGGAAGCTCTAACGTGTGAATTAGTGCCTCCCTGCTCTGCTGTTGGCAGGCTCCAAATGCTCTTCCAATCATCTTTCCGGGAGGACTCACCCAGGTAGATGGAAGTGGGGAGGGGGGAGGGGGAGGCGGTCACGGTGTCAGCAACACTCGCAGGCTCGTTCCCTGGCCTTTTCTTTTCTTTTTGGAAATGCAGTACCACAAACACCTTTCGTTGTGAACCTTGTCTTACCTTTGCCCCTGCCCCTGCCTCTGTCCCTGCCTCTGTCCCTACCTCTGTCCCTGCCTCTGTCCCTGCCTCTGTCCCTGCCTCTGCCCCTCACCTGCCCCTGTTCCTGGCCCCGCTCCCGCCCCTGCCCCCTCCCTGTCTCCTCGTGTGTTGCTGTCTCCTGCAGGTGCCAACAGGATCATTTCCCAAGACCCGACTTCGAATCGCAGTGCCTAACAAACAGGTGCTTGCACAATGGTGAAAGCTGGCAAACCAGGCTGATCAACAGGTGCACTCATTACCAGGTGCACTCATTACCAGGTGCACTCATTACCAGGTGCTCTCATTACCAGGTGCACTCATTACCAGGTGCACTCATCACCAGGTGCACTCATCACCAGGTGCTCTCATCACCAGGTGCTCTCATCACCAGGTGCTCTCATCACCAGGTGCTCTCATCACCAGGTGCTCTCATTACCAGGTGCACTCATTACCAGGTGCACTCATTACCAGGTGCACTCATTACCAGGTGCTCTCATTACCAGGTGCACTCATTACCAGGTGCACTCATTACCAGGTGCACTCATTACCAGGTGCTCTCATTACCAGGTGCTCTCATCACCAGGTGCTCTCATTACCAGGTGCCCTCATTACCAGGTGCACTCATTACCAGGTGCACTCATTACCAGGTGCTCTCATTACCAGGTGCCCTCATTACCAGGTGCACTCATTACCAGGTGCACTCATTACCAGGTGCACTCATTACCAGGTGCTCTCATTACCAGGTGCCCTCATTACCAGGTGCTCTCATTACCAGGTGCCCTCATTACCAGGTGCTCTCATTACCAGGTGCTCTCATCACCAGGTGCACTCATCACCAGGTGCTCTCATTACCAGGTGCTCTCATTACCAGGTGCTCTCATTACCAGGTGCTCTCATCACCAAGTGCTCTCATTACCAGGTGCTCTCATTACCAGGTGCTCTCATCACCAGGTGGTCTCATCACCAGGTGCACTCATTACCAGGTGCTCTCATTACCAGGTGCACTCATCACCAGGTGCACTCATCACCAGGTGCTCTCATCACCAGGTGCTCTCATCACCAGGTGCTCTCATCACCAGGTGCTCTCATCACCAGGTGCTCTCATCACCAGGTGCTCTCATCACCAGGTGCTCTCATCACCAGGTGCTCTCATCACCAGGTGCTCTCATCACCAGGTGCTCTCATCACCAGGTGCTCTCATCACCAGGTGCTCTGATCACCAGGTATACCTGTGCAACGAGACGAGTTACTCGCTCGGACTCGGCCGAGTTACTCGTTTGGGTGCGAGTAACGAGTTTCGGTTTTTGTAAAATTTACTCGTCCGAGTCGAGCCGAGTTTTACTCGCCGAGTTTTTTTTGCTCGACGAGTACTCGCGTGCGAGGCCTATCCAGGTCTAAGCAGGCTTCCACGGGCTTACCGCGGCAATGCAAGGCTACCCTGGGCCACCCTGGGACACCCTGGGCCACCCTGGGCGGCCCTGGGAACTCCAATACTTCCGTAGTAGGGTACATGGCCGAGCATTACTCGTACTCGGACGAGCTTTTTTAAATGCTCGCCCGAGTTCCCTTTTATAAGGCGAGTAACGAGTTTCTGTTTGGGGGAAAAAAGCTCGGGCGAGTATTACTCGACTCGGGCTCGTACTCGGCCGAGCAAGGCTAGGGACGAGTCGAGCATTACTCGGCTCGCCCCTTTGCACAGGTACACCAGGTGCACTCATCACCAGGTGCACTCATCACCAGGTGCACTCATCACCAGGTGCACTCATCACCAGGTGCACTCATCACCAGGTGCACTCATCACCAGGTGCACTCATCACCAGGTGCACTCATCACCAGGTGCACTCATCACCAGGTGCACTCATCACCAGGTGCACTCATCACCAGGTGCACTCATCACCAGGTGCACTCATCACCAGGTGCACTCATCACCAGGTGCACTCATCACCAGGTGCACTCATCACCAGGTGCACTCATCACCAGGTGCACTCATCACCAGGTGCCCTTAGTACCAGGAGCCCCTAGCAACAACAATAGGTGACCCACCTTCTTTCAAGTAGCCACTTGGCCAAGTGCTGGTGACCTGGTCTGGTCTGGTACTGTGTGGCCATTGTTGAGGCGCCTCAAATTATCGTGGTCCCTGAAAATTCGTCTCATGTTTTGAGGCGCCTTAAAAATCTTTCAAGTAGCCACTTGGCCAAGTGCTGGCGATCTGGTCTGGTCTGGTATTGTATGGCCATTGGCCAGCCATATCTTGATTTCAAAAAGTCATCTCTCCTCCTCCCGTTGCCCCTCCCCTCTTCTCGGCCCCCCTCCCCGCCAGCAATACAAGGAGTATGCGAACATGTCGGAAGCGTTGGGGGGGAGAGGGCAACAGCCGCTTCTCAGGCCCTGGTGGTGACTGTTACGGATTTGACTCAAACTTCACCTTCTCCTTGTTCCCTCACACAACCCCCCTTCTCCTCCCTCCCCCCTCCAGCAATACAAGGAGTATGTGAATGTGTCGGACGCCTTGGGCGAGGGCAACAGCCGCTTCTCAGGCTACTGCGTGGAGGTGTTCCGCCTGGCCGTTACGCGGTTACCCTACAAGCTCGACTACGAGTTTGTGCTGTACGGTGACAAGGACCTCAGCTACACTCAGATGGTGCTGGCTGTCGCCAACAAGGTGTGTCGTATGTATGTAGAGGGTAACCCTTCTCTCCAAGATGGCTGTCTGTTGTGAGGCTCATGGTGCTGGCCGTTGCCAACAAGGTGTGTGTGTGATGTGCCTCTCCCTTTTTCCACGAGCCGTGATGAAAGAGAACTACCTTTCTTGCTCTGGGCTATGAGTGTGCGCTTCTTCCATGGCAAGAAGGAGCCCAGCTCAGCTCAGCTACACACACATGGCGCTTTATTTCCCTGTGCTTCCCTGTGCTACCCTGTGCCGCGCTTTATTTCCCTGTGCTGCCTTGTGTTGGCCTATGTTCTTCTGCACACGTTGAGCCATTGCTAGCAGACGTACGATGCAGCAGTGGGGGACATCACAGTGCTGGACTCGCGGAGCAAAGTTGTTGAAATGCCTCAGCTCCCTGCTCTCAGTTGCCCTGTGTCCTGTGCTTCCCTGTGTTGCCCTGCTCTCTGCGCCCCTGGCTGGCTAGCAGACGTACGATGCAGCAGTGGGGGACATCACAGTGCTGGACTCGCGGAGCAAAGTTGTCTTCTTCACCTATCCCATCCAGGTTCGGTTTGGGCACATTCCAGGTTCGGGCACATTCCAGGTTCGGGCACATTCCAGGGTCAGGCGCATTCCAGGTTCGGGCACATGCCAGGTTCGGGCACATGGGAGGTTCGGGCACATGCCAGGTTTGGGCACATGCCAGGTTTGGGCACATTCCAGGTTTGGGCACATTCCAGGTAGGTACATGCACATGCCAGGTTCAGGCACATGGCAGGTTCGGGCACATGCCAGGTTTGGGCACATTCCAGGTTTGGGCACATTCCAGGTAGGTACATGCACATGCCAGGTAGGTACAGGCACATGCCAGGTAGGTACAGCCTACAGGCACATGCCAGGTAGGTAAAGGCACATCCCTTGCCTGCTTCGCTGCTCAAGTTCACTCACAAACCACCTGCGCTGCTGCTGCCCTCTCCTTCCTCTTCTCCCATTCCCGCCCTCCCTTTACATGTCTCCTCCCAGCAATCCCAGCAATCAGGGTTGAGCGTGATAAGCTACTCGCGCCCGTACAGCAACCCCTGCTTTGGCTATCTTGTCCGCTGACACATCACTCTTGTCACTGCTCTCCCCTCCCTTTCCCTCTCCCAGCAATCAGGGTTGAGCGTGATAAGCTACTCGCGGCCATACAGCAACCCATGGACGGTCTTCTCCCCGTTCACGGCCTCCATGTGGGCCGTCTTGCTGCCATCTGCCTCACCACAGGGCGCCGTTCTTTCCTTCCCCTCCCTTCCCGTGCCTCCTCTCTCTCCCAGCAATCGGGGTTGAGTGTGATGGGGTACTCGCGCCCGTACAGCAACCCATGGATGGTCTTCTCTCCATTCACACCCTCCATGTGGGCCGTCACTGCCGTCATCTGCATCACCACAGGGCTTCTCGCCATGATACTGGACCGGCAAAGGACGCCTGACTTCCAGGGCACGCTCCAGAAACGCCTCATGACAGCCGTGTGGTGAGTCGCTTGGCGTAGGCGTGTCAGACACAGCTTGAGGCTCTGTGTATCGCAACAGGGCTGCTCGCCGTGGTACTGGACCGCCAGTGTACGCCTGACTTCCAGGGCACGCTGTAGAAACGCATCATGACAGCCGCCGTGTGGTGAGTGGAAGGGCTGTTTGGCGGATGGTGCTTAAAGGTGGTGTTTGTAGCAATTGGGGACGGTCACAGTGCCTCCATCTGCATCAGCTCAGCACAGGGCTGCTAGCCATAATACTGGACACGCAGCGCATGCCTGGCTTCCAGGGCATGCTGCAGAAGTGCCTCATGATGGTGTGTGGTGAGTAGGTGGGCTGGAACTTGGTGGCACTAAAGGTGTGTTTCACACACACACACACACACACACACACACACACACTTGATCACACTCACACTCACTCACTCACACACACACACACACTCACTCCTTCACGCTCACAATCACTCACACATACACACCAACACACACACACGCGCTCGCGCGCGTGCGTGTGCATGCCTTCTTTCATCCACCTATGTCAGAATCCCAGTCACTAGATCACTGGGATATAAGTGCTTGTTCTAGTAGCGGGTCAGTGCGTTTTTAACACCCCAGGCTAACATGCCGGTAACCCTTCCTAAGATCAATCGAGGATCCCCAGTCTCGGTCTTTTGACTCCCCCCACAAGGAATGGTCCAGGACCTGCTGACAGTGATTTCTGCAGCAGTGGCACACATGGGGTTCGAACCCGAGACCTTTTGCTCTGATACCATATCAGAATTCCAGCCACTAGATTACTGGGATAAAAAGGCTTATCACAAGGAATGGTCCAGGACCTGCTGACAGTGATTTCTGCAGCAGTGGCACACATGGGGTTCGAACCCGAGACCTTTTGCTCTGATACCATATCAGAATTCCAGCCACTAGATTACTGGGATAAAAAGGCTTATTAAGTAGCGGGTCAGTGCGTTCATACCCCCCAAGGCTAACATGTCTGTAGCCCTTCCTAGGATCAATCAGACATCCCACAGTGCAGGTCTTCAGACACCTTAGGGCGTGTGTGAATCTAACTGCAGTTCGAAAATGAAATCGAACGTAAAGTGGTAACCAGTTTCGTGCATGTTCACGAATGCTTTCGCATTCGCCATGTACATTTTGATTCCCACGAGACTCGAACCCCGAAAACTGAACAAGATTCGAGTATATGAGAAAACGTGGTTTTGCACGTTGAAGTGAACGTGTGTGGTTTCAGGCACGTACGAGGAGTGTGCGACACTTGCTAGACATTCGTGCGCCAATAGAGGCACGACCGAAACCAGTAGCAAACCCACTCGAGCAAAGGCCGCCACGTGGATGTTGTCGTGGCACGATGACGTTCCGCCTCTGATTTTGAGCAGGCGCACCAGTGCAATGAGGGACATTTTGGAGAGCTGAGTTGGTGAATGGGCCGACACTCTCACCTTTGTAGCTAGTTGGACTGTCCGGGAGAAGATGAGTTGGAAGTCTAGAGTGCATTTTTGGGCCACGCGATTCGTTGACGTGTCGCGCTGTCAAGATGCCGATACAGGGTGACCTACGCATCCTAGTGGCGGTTCGGTTCTCCCCCTACAGGCTCGAACTTGTAGATTCGCACCTGCGTGTGTGATTGTGAGTTTACAACTTTTGACCCCTGCGGTTCGAACCTTGCAAATACTCAAAATCGAGTCAGGTTCGCTTAGAGAACAATTGCTACAATCGAATCAAAAACATAAACTTAAGGTAAAATTAGATTCACACACGCCCTTATACTGTCGGTTGTCCTTCCCACCCACCCACCCTTCTCGTTGCTTGCTGCAGGTATGGCTGCCACACATTTTTCTCCATTCCTGGTGCGTTCTCTCCTCACCTCGCCCCACCACTCCCCACCTCCCTCCCCCTCTCTTCTCTCTCCTCTCTTATCCTCCCCCACCTCCCTCCCCACGCGACATTCTCTCACATACTGTTCCTCTACACAAGTTTCACACGGTACTCTTGAGTCATGTCAGATGTCACCTCTTTTTACATGGTATGGTACCCCCCCAGCTGCACTGAGGACTGGACTGCAGCACTGCTCTATCTCCTCCTCATCCGGTCCTCAGTGCAGCGTTGCAATCACTGTGCTGTGCCTTTCCCCAACTGCCGTTCTTGCTCTCATATATTTATTATTTCTGATCATTTGTATGCGTAACGCTTTTGTTTGTGGTGGTGCGTGTGTGTGAGTGTGTGTCACCTCACTGCAGTGTTTCGCATCCGCACGACGCTTGCAAGGGCGGTCGTGGTGATCTGGCTGCTGCTCGCCTTCATCATAGCCACATCCTATACAGCCAGTCTCACTTCCATTCTCACATTGCAGAAGCTTGTTCCACAGATTCTGGTGAGCACCTGTTACAATCTCATTCCTACGTGCACGCACGTAGCTGCTGCTGCCCTTCATTATAGCCACGTCCAATATTGCCAGTCTCACCTCCATTCTCACGTTGCAGAAGCTCGTTCCGCAAACCCTGGTGAGCATCCCTTTCTTTATAAACAATCACCCACCCTTGTTGGAGTCACTTCCCTTCCGTTCGCACTGTACATGAGCACCTGTCATCATCAATCTCGCTCCCTACGAGCATGCACGTGTTGGTTGGGTAAGCATTTTTCCTCTTGTATGTGAAAAGCGACCTTCTCTGCGAGCCACGTTCGTATCCCCCACACTCCATCCGCACCCTGCAACTCCTCTCAACGCCTCTCAACGCCTCGCCCTTTCCTTGCAAAAGCACGGTTAGAAGCCTCGCAACCTGCCCTTCCACCCCCCACCACCCCCCACCAGGACAACTAACCTGTCCTCACCTCACCAGCAACTCACCCATCAGCCGCTAGCAACACAGCTCCTTGCTCGGCACAGGCGTGCATGCTCACGCCTCTCTTTCTCCCTCCCTGCTACCTGCTCTTGCGCTCTCCACCCTCCGTCCACCCCACCAGGACATCTACTCCGCCCTCACCAGCAACTCACCCATCGGCTACCAGCAGCACAGCTCCTTTCTCGACTCATACATGCATGCTTACACCTCTCTTGCGCCCTCTCCTCCACCCCTCCACCCCTCCACCCCACCAGGACATCTACTCCGCCCTCACCAGCAACTCACCCATTGGGTACCAGCAGGGCTCCTTTGTGCATTCGTACCTGCTGCAGCTGGGCGTTGCATCTGTGAGTGCATCTTTTGTTATTGTCACAACAGAGACGGATTCTACAGGGCGGCTTTAAACGTTGATAGCAAACAGGTTTCTGCATGAAATAATGTGCAGCAAGATAGAAATAGAGGCAGGTAGAAAAAAAAGAAAGAAAAAAAAAAAAAAAAAGACGACGATATGATAGTTTTGAGCGAACGGCGCTTTAGCGGCAATTATAGTCCTAGAGTACAAAATAGGAATAAGATCGAGTTGGGAATGACTACGGGCCTTTACAACCTGCAAGAGGCGAGGTTTAAGGATATGAAACAGTATCACACAGTTCTAAACTATGTGTAATTTATCTACCACAAAGGCGTACATGAAGAAAAAAAATTACATTACACAGTGCAATGTAACTATTTTCACTATCTTGATGCTTACCATCCTTTGCAAGCTCTGAGATTATTCGAAACTTGAAACCAAGGCTCTGGCCTTTCACCTTCAATAGCCACCAACCTCTCCTTTTCCCCTTCCTCAACCTCTCCCCCGGAACCCCATCAGGGCAAGCTAGTGTCTTTGGCAGGGGAGAGCGAGTATGCATCATCACTGTCATCAGGGAGGGTGACGGTGATAGTCGACAAGGACCCCTACCTTGACCTCTTCACCTCTGCCTTGTGTCCCCTCTCTCCCCTGGCAGGACAAGCTAGTTTCACTGGCGGGGGAGAGTGAGTACGCGTCGTCCCTCTCCTCGGGCCGGGTCATGGTGATAGTGGATGAGGACCCCTACCTCGACCTCTTCTCTGCGTCTTTCTGTGACGCCGTGCAGGCGTCTCAGCCCTTCTCCATCCTCAACCTCGCCTTTGTGCGTGCACACTCTGGTGCAGTGTGGTGCAGTGTGGTGCACACTCTGGTGCAGTGTAGTGCACACTCTGGTGCAGTGTGGTGCACACTCTGGTGCAGTGTGGTGCACACTCTGGTGCAGTGTGGTGCAGTGTGGTGCACACTCTGGTGCAGTGTGGTGCACACTCTGGTGCAGTGTGGTGCAGTGTGGTGCACACTCTGGTGCAGTGTGGTGCACACTCTGGTGCAGTGTGGTGCAGTGTGGTGCACACTCTGGTGCAGTGTGGTGCAGTGTGGTGCACACTCTGGTGCAGTGTGGTGCACACTCTGGTGCAGTGTGGTGCAGTGTGGTGCAGTGTGGTGCACACTCTGGTGCAGTGTGGTGCAGTGTGGTGCAGTGTGGTGCACACTCTGGTGCAGTGTGGTGCACTGTGGGGCATGTGATGCACTGTGGTTTCATGTGGGGCATGTGGGGCATGTGGGGCTTGTCACATGTGTGTATGCATGCTGGGAGCAACCTCGCCATCCTCAACCTCGCCTTTGAGGGTGCAGCATGGTCGCATGGCTTTGATGCATGCTGTGTGTGAGTGTGCACCATGGTATATATGCATCATGCATATGCATGTGCATTCACGTTCCCGCTGGAAAACTTCCCCATTTACCTTAAGAACTCCACCCCATATCATATCCTCTTTCCTCACCTTCCCTCCCTTCCCCCCATGTGCCCCACCCCCCAACTCGCCCCTATGCACTGCGAAACTTTTCTCATGTCCCTTGAGAACTGCACATGCACTTCTTCCCCAGATTATATCCTCTTCCCTCAACTTTCCCCTCTTCCACCCCCCCCCCGCACGTCGCTCGCCTCCCCGTGCCTCTCTCGCCTTCGTCTTCTTCCCTTTTTCTCCCTCTCCTCTCTCTCTCTTCTCCCTCTCCTCTCTCTCTCTCTCTCCTCTCCCTCTCCTCTCTCTCTCTCTCCTCTCCTTTCTCCTTCCTCCCACTCACCACGATCGCCACCCCACAGGCCTTCCCCAAGGGGTCGCAGGTGGGGGCGGACATATCTCAAGCAATCCTCGACCTGCAGATGAAGGGGGAGCTAGAGCGGCTCAAGGCGCAGTACCTACAGGTGGGCCTGTGAGAGATGTGGGGTGGGCTTTTGAGGGGCTCAAGACCTGACAGATGAAAGGGGAGCTGGAGCGGCTCAAGGCGCAGTACTTGCAGGTAGGTACAAAAGAGGAGTATGAGGATTGGTTAACTCGGTACTTGCAGGTGTATGCTAAGAGATGGAAATTCGTAGCCGACTCTTCCCTCTTCCCTCACCATCCACCCCTTCTTCCCTCTTCAGAAGAAACCTACCTCCTCCCTCCCTCGTCACAAGGACAGCATGTGCAGCAACGGCCAGGCCAGCTCTGTGGTGTTGACGTGCACAAGCTCACGGCTCGTGCCTCTTCTCTTTTCTCTCTTCTCTCTTCTCTCGTGTCTCTGGTCTCTTGTCCCTTCTCTCTTCCCTCTTCAGAAGGACAACATGTGTGTAGACGATCAGATGGCCTCGGCCGTGCTGACGGAGGTGAACGTGCAGAAGTTCACGGCGCTGCTCATCCTCTACCTCGTTGTCTCACTACTCTGCTGCATCGCCTACGTGGGGCTTCTCATTTACCGCGGTTACCGCTACCACCAACGGTACGACCCGGTTACCGTTACCACCAACGCACCCGGTTACAGTTATCACCAACGGTACGACCCGGTTACCGTTATCACCAACGGTACGACCTGTTTTGATTGACTCAAATCCCATCCTCTACCTCGTCATCTTGCTGCTCTGCTGCATCACCTACGTGGGGTTGCTCTTCTACCGCGGTTACCGCTACCACCAGTACGACCTGGTTACCACTACCACCGGTGCGACCTGGTTACCACTACCACCGGTGCGACCTGGTTACCACTACCAGCGGTACAACCTGGTTACCACTACCACCAGTACGACCTGGTTACCACTACCACCGGTACAACCTGGTTACCACTACCACCAGTACGACCTGGTTACCACTACCACCGGTACGACCTGGTTACCACTACCACCGGTGCGACCTGGTTACCACTACCACCGGTACAACCTGGTTACCACTACCATCGGTACGACCTGGTTACCACTACCACCAGTACGACCTGGTAACCACTACCACCGGTACGACCTGGTTACCACTACCACGGGTACGACCTGGTTACCGGTACGACCTGGTTACCGTTATGTCCTGTAGGCATGTCCAGCATTTCTGTTTCCCATTTCTACCTCCTCTACCCCCTGGCTTCCTCCTTGCCTGTTCCCCAATCTACGTTTGAGGAGCCTCAAAAGTACACCCCCCTCTACTGCCTCTACCCCCTGGCTTCCCCCGTGCCTACTCCACGATCTCTTTGCAACATCTGCCTGTGCCTGTGCCTGTGCCTGTGCCTGTGCCTGTGCCTGTGCCTGTGCCTGTGCCTGTGCCTGTGCCTGTGCCTGTGCCTGTGCCTGTGCCTGTGCCTGTGCCTGTGCCTGTGCCTCTGCCTCTGCCTCTGCCTCTGCCTCTGCCTCTGCCTCTGCCTCTGCCTCTGCCTCTGCCTCTGCCTCTGCCTCTGCCTCTGCCTCTGCCTCTGCCTCTGCCTGTGCCTGTGCCTGTGCCTGTGCCTGTGCCTGTGCCTGTGCCTGTGCCTGTGCCTGTGCCTGTGCCTGTGCCTGTGCCTGTGCCTGTGCCTGCTCGTGCCTGCGCTTGCGCTTGTACTTGCTCTGTACTTGCGTTTGCTGGCCTGACAACGCTGCAGGGAAGCACATGGATCCTATCTGTCACCACCACACGAGGAAGAGGAGGACGACGAGGAGGAGGATGACTGGCAGCTGCTGCTGCAGCAGCGGTGTTTCGGCCTGTCCTGCGGTCCGGGTGGAAAATCTAGTGCAGATTACAAAACAGGCAAGGGCGGCAAGAATCGTCCTGACATTGATGACAATGGTGGCATTGAGGGAGGCAGGGATAGTGATGGTAGAGCAAGCGTGGGGAACGAGGAGGAGGGTGGAGGCTCCAGTGTGGGCTGTGTGGGCTGTGTGGGCTATGTTGGTGCTGGTCCTGGTCCCGCCTCCAATCCCTTCTCACGTGTTCCCCAACCACCTTCAACCAGCTTTGACAGCAGCAGCAGCAGCAGCACCAGCACCACCACCGCCGCCGCCACCGCCGCCGCTGCTACAGCCCAGACCGTTAAGAGCAGCACTGGTTGCCTGCCTCTTTTTGAACCACCGCCCACCGCATCCCACCCCGCGCCTTCACCTCGCACCTATTCATCTCCCGCACCTGGCAGTGGCACGTCTAGCCCTTCAGGCAGAGCAATCCCTGGTGCTGCTGCGTCGTGCCTAGGGGGCCCTGTCTGGCCCGATCCGTCCATTGCTCTAGGCAGTGCTGCTGCATGCGTGCGGATGCCTGGCAAGGGCAGCAAGCGTCCCGAGGTGCTTGCGCCGCTGCTGGAGGAAGGGAGTGAGGAAGGAGGGATAGGGGATGAGGATGGGGATGGGGAGGAGGAAAGGGATGGGGATTTGGGTATTGGTGCTGCTGCTTCAGATGCTGCTTCAGCAGCAGTAAGGGCAGCACTTGCAGTAGAAGTAGTGGGAGAAGGGGCAGTGGCAGCAGGAGCAGCAGCATCAGGACTGCGTGTAGCCATGTCTACAGGCAGTGTTGAAAAAGCGGCAGCACAAGTCACTGCTGCAGCAGGGGCAGTGCCTGCAGCAGGGGCAGTGCCTGCAGCAGGGTCAGTGCCTGCAGCAGGGTCAGTGCCTGCAGCAGGGTCAGTGCCTGCAGCAGGGGCAGTGCCTGCAGCAGGGTCAGTGCCTGCAGCAGGGGCAGTGGGAGAAGGGACAGTGGCGGCAGAGGCAATTACAGCAGCAGGAGAAGTAGTGGGAGGATGGGCAGTGGCAGCAGGCGCAGCAGCATCAGGGCTGCGCATGGCCGTGTCTGATGGCCGTGGTGGGGTTGGGGAAGCAGCAGAAGAGAAAGAAGCAGCAGCAGGGAGAGACGCAGCAGCAGAGGAAGCAGCAGCAGCAGGGAGAGAAGCAGCAGGAGGAGTAGTGGGAGGATGGGCAGTGGCAGCAGGCGCAGCAGCATCAGGGCTGCGCATGGCCGTGTCTGATGGCCGTGGTGGGGTTGGGGAAGCAGCAGCAGAGAAAGAAGCAGCAGCAGGGAGAGAAGCAGCAGCAGAGAAAGGAGCAGCAGCAGGGAGAGAAGCAGCAGGAGAAGGAGAAGCAAACACAGAAGCAGAAACAGCTGGACCAGCCATTGCTACCATGACTGCTGCCGCTGTTGCTGCTGCTACTGCTGCTGCTACTGCTGCTGCTGCTGCAAAAGGTTCCTTTTCTGATCATGGGACATCCAGGTTAATTCCAGGTTTACCCCCTGTAAACCTTGGGTCAACCGGTATCCTATCCTCTGTGGGTGCATCTCTCGACATAGCAGCCAGCTTACTGCCTAAAGTAACAAATACCACCACTAAGAGCACGAGCAACCGATCTCCTGCTGATGTGTTAGCTGTGGCACCGGTACCGACTGGTATGCCAAGTGTGGGAAGCATGTCTACTTCTGAGGCGCCTCAAAAGCGATCTCCTAGTGATGTATTAGCTGTGGCACCGGTAGCGACTGGTATGCCTTTTGAGGCGCCTCAAAAGTCGACTGGTATGCCAAGTGTGGGAGGCGTGACCAACGTGCTTCCCGGCTTGGCGTCTGTACAGAGGATGATAGAATCGGGGCAAGGGGGTGTGGTGAGCATGCAGAGGACCATGGACGACCTGATGGATAAATTCAACAAGGTGAGGCTTGAAAGCAGTGGTGGATGTAATGTGGGTGTGGGAAGCGTCACCAATGTGCTTCCCGGCTTGGCGTCTGTACAGAGGATGATCGAGTCGTCACAGGAGGGTGTGGTGAGCATGCAGAGGACCATGGACGATCTGATGGATAAATTCAACAAGGTGAGACGAAAGGTGGACAGTTTAAGCAAGATGAGCATGTGTTTGTGACACGTCTAATAACTCTCAAAAGTCATGTGTTTGTGTCACGTCTGAGAACTCTCGAAGGTACTTGTGCATGCAGAGGATAATTTTGAGGCGCCTCAAAAATCACCTGCATGTAGAGGAGAGGACAATGGACAATTTTTGAGACGTCTCAAAAGTCATGTGTTTGTGTCACGTCTGAGAACTCTCAAAAGTCATGTGTTTGTGTCACGTCTGAGAACTCTCAAAAGTCTCCATACATGCAGAGGAGAGGACAATGGACGATCTTATGCATGAATTCAACAAGGTGAGGTTAGCACCTCGGACCTCCCCTTCTCTTCCTCTGCACTCTTCTCTCCTCCCCTGCACTCTTCTCTCCTCCCTTCTTCCATTCTTCCCTCGCTTCTCTGCGCTCCTCTCTCCTCTGTAAGCATCTGCGGACCTGCCAAAATATAATCTGTTCTGTGCACCCTTCTCCAATTTCCCTCAACCCATGCTTGACTGCATGCAGGGCATGGAGTGGAGCCAGAGGCGCTACTTAGACCCAGCCAATATCCAGAGGCAGCAAGCCTACTCGGCCGCCTCTCTCCTGCCAGACTTCTCCTCCCCGGGCAACTCTATACGAAAACGCAGCAGCCCGTCAGCGCGCAGCTCTGGTGTCTTTGCTTCGGCCTCCTCTGCTTCTGCCTCTGCCTCTGTTTCTGCTGCGGCGTCGCCTGTGTCGGCCTCGCCGTCCCAGCGGAACCACCGGCGCCGTCCTAGCTGGGGATCGATACAAGCCTCACCTGCTTTCCCCCCTTCCAAACGCCCTTCCACTGCTTCTGGGTCCTTCTTTCATGCTGCCAGTGCCGGTGGTGGTGCTTCCAGTGCAGGCAGTGCTGGTGACGCTGGGGATACAGATACAGACGCTTCTCCCGCCGCTGCCTCTTGTTCCGATCAACCTTACTATTCCTCCTCGGGTCTTTCTCTCCCAGCTGACCCTCCTCCTGCAAGTCCCTCCACTGCATCTTACATCTTCTACCATTCTTACAGCGCTGGTGATTCTCCTTCTGCTGGGGTAGCCGGTGCTAGGGGCTCCCCCGGTGCGCCTAACTTCCACCACTTGGGTAGTTCTGGCAGCATGTCTGCTGCTGGTAGCTTCGGTGGTTCCGGTGTTGGGGGTCATGCAGACATGCCCAAAAGAGTAAGGCGGACCAGCACCATCTTGCCTTCTTCGTCCTCACTACCTTCCGAACCTTGCCCTCCAGAAGCTGATTCCTTTGAACTGGGAGGAGCAGCACAGCTGGGGGAACCAAAGAGGAGAAGCATCGCCTTTGGTATGGAGCAGCAATCAGACTTTCCGACTCACTCACCCCTGACACTTTCGCGATCCCCTCCTGAGGAGCTGCAACCGCAGCCACAACAGCAACAGCCACAGCACCTGTTGCTGCGGCAGCAGCTGCCACCGAAGGCATCGTATGGCCGGCTCAACTCTCCTCTCGTCAACTCTCAGGCAGTGGCAAGCCAGGCCAGCCAGCAGCAGCAGCAGCAGCAGCAGCAGCAGCAGCAGCAGAGGAACCAGGTTGGCAGGTTGCGTAAGGCTGCTCGTGTTCATCGCCGCAGTGCGTCGCATGATGTCACACAGAAGCCAGAAATGAGGTGCGTCTGTGGAAATGCTATTACTGAGGCACTTATATGTGTCTGCCAAAGCCAGTTCATCCAACCTTCATATGTTGCTTTCTTGTCCTTTTTGTTGTTGCAAATATTCTCTTGTATTGTGTTGTTTCATTTGCAGCATTAAGGGGGAAGTGGGGAAGAAGTTAGCAAACCTTGGCAGGGTTCTGTCACCAGGATCCACATTTGATGCGGATGCTAACGTCGAGCCCGAATTCAAAGGAGTTCAACGAGTCCGCGCCTTTCGGCTTTCAAAGTCACCTCGCGCTAACCCCTGAAGTTAGCAGCAATGCACAGGGTTTTAATATCACTGGGATCCATGTTTGATGCGGACGCAAATGCCCAGCCCGAGTACAACGGAGTTACGGAGTTCAACGCGTTCGTGCCTTTTGTCTCTCTCCCTAGACCTGATCTGAATCTCGATCAGACTAACAGGACCAAATGGATTTGTGTGCACTCGGTCGGTCCTGACGATGGGAAATGAACTGGTATTGCCATGGCAAAATAGTGGCAGGGCATACAGGATGTGTGGAGAGAAGCAGTACTCTCATTGCTGAATCCACCTACTGTGCAGAATCTGTGATGTGTCCGATACAAGTGGTAGATTAGATAGTCAGTACCTGGGGGTGGCGGTGATGCTCTGACAGTGAAACTGGGGGGGGCGTTCTACAGAGGATCAGGGCTGATGGAAAACTAGATGGGGTGAACCGGTAGCATCCACCCTGCACATGCAGATGCAACGGTAGAACCCCTGCTTCCCAGAAACTCCAAACCTCCGACCATGTCCATCCACACCAGATGAATAACTAAACAAGGTACGGTATGTATAAATGAGAACAAAGGATCACATACTGGTACTACCGTTGATCAGTATCCTAGAAAACAAAAGAACTCATCTCATGTTAACATCCTAGGCGTAGTTCTGGATCAACTGAAGAAGCCTCGCCGGGTTGGCTCCAACAAGGTCATCCACCTTTTTCCCGTCCTTGAAAACATGGAAGGTCGGCATGGCGGAAACACCGCACTCCTCTGCCACTTTCTGCAATGTTTAAAAGCAGGAGTTCTTGAGCGATCTCAAATGTACAAAAAAATCTGATCAAAGGCCAAATAAAAACAAGGTCTCGACGAAGTGACAGGCAGGACACAACACGGGGAGCACGAACCGGAAGAGCGTCGACATCCACTTTAAGGAAGATGATGGATGGAAATTTAGTCGCGTTTTGCTCAAAAATTGGACCGATCATCCGGCAAGGGCCGCACCAAGTCGCTGTGAAATCCACGATGACCTGAAAATTTTAGGGAGCACCAAGGTCTGAAAATTGATCAAGATCAGGTGCGATGACTACCGATTGAAGCAAACACAATACGGCAACGGAATATTCCATTAGTCCCTCCCCTGTGAGGTCATAACAAAACCGTAGATTCAGCAGCGGTTGCGACGCTGAGAGCTAGATCGACGCTGACAGTTCAGCTCACCACTTTACCCTCATCTTTGGCCTGGTTGAGTATGGACCTCCACTGATCCTCGGAGCTGACAACAATAACTCCCGCCATAGATCGTCGCGAACCGCCACAGAAACTAACGACAGCGAGCGATGGAAGAGCTACTCGGCGTGCCTGGAGGCTATGGAGAATAGTGAGAAATCGTACAGGTGGCTGATCTTCACTGGCAAAATATGATGCCTTTTATGTACCAGAAATCTGGGCACTAAACTGAACATTCAGCTCTTTCTGATGTCATACTGTACTTGGACTGCCCTGGCGTTGCCCACACGTCACGGCAGACTCCCGCTCCCCGCACGCATCTGGGACAAAGTCACACTCGTAGTGCGGACTGGTGGCAACGATCCAGTCTCGTTGTTACAGGTGCAATAGTACGAGCCACGGGAGGATTTCGCTTGAGGGGAAAAAAGGGAGGGCGAGGGCATGAACGAACTATTAGCGAAGATTTAAAGGATAACGCGCGAAAACGAGCTTGAGTTTGCCGTGTTCGCAGCGAGGCTTTTTGGCTCTTCTCGCAGGGCCCGCCTGTTGTACGCATTGGAGTCCAGTGCGAACTGAACGTAATCCCTTACACTAATTCGTCTATGTCCCACAGTTCTATAAGATAATCTAGATTATTCGTTCTAGCATATAAGTACCAGTACTACTATACCGTGAAACACCAGGATGTGCTGTTTTTTTTGTAATAAATCTTTGGGATTATATCTATTGAGGAACTATCCTGAGTTTCTCCATAGTAAAAACTTGGCTCCAGCAATAAATTCTTTAGTCACCGCACATTCCATATCTATCAGTAATATCCGGGCAATGTACAGTCACTACCTAGAATCTTTTGGAGAAATGCAGCCTGTTTAGTTTGAAGGACGAGATCCATCCCACCTTTTTCATTTCCCCACCACCCACCCCAACGTTGGTACAATATACTGAAAATTGCATTGAAACCCATGTTGTACGGTGTACTGCTCGGTTGAAATGTTGCGGTACCAGTCAGGGAATTCGCGCACAGTTGATGGGTACCACGTAGGGAAGATGGGTACCACGGAGGGAAGATGGGTACCACGAAGGGGCGCGCATGATCTGACGGGTACCATCGAGCCACGTAGGTGACTTCTGACGTCAGCGGGCTCCATGTTGGTTACCCAGAAGGTAATTACCCAATTTGTTTCATTCAACTTGCTGTGTTGGAAGGCTGGAATCGAAGCGGAGTTTCCTTGTGCGGGAGGGGGAAAAGGGGAGGGGTTTGGGGGGTGGAGTGGAGAGATGAGTGCGGGGAGGGGAATGCACAACGGATGTGAAATATGGGTGGTTACCCAACGTTCGCTGAACACAGCCATCCAATTGAATTCTTTGTAGCAAACGCTGACTGGTCTGTTCGTCCTCCATCCTTCTGAATACCCACAATGTTTACAACAAATGTCAGTAAAAATGAACAAAAACAGTAGGGCTTAAAAGAAAAATAAAAAGACGGGATGACAAAAGGGAGCAGCAGAGGGCCCACTTATCAGCCCCAAACAAGCAGGGCAGCACCGATAATTCCGCCGCAACAACAGCCAGAAGGGGAGGCAGCTGCTTTGGTTTATCGTGGGGACCAGGCCAGCCAGGCAAAATACAAGTTGGATAAGGATTAGGTTTTCCCTCCAGCCTTTTGGAGCACCTTCAGATCACGAGTTTGATTGTATATTTTGTTTCTGCGTCGCCAATCAGCATAGATTAATCTTGGAATCGGGCCAGTTATTTTCAGAGGACCTATACATCCATGGCACACAGACCGGATTGATGTTTCCATCACGATTAGGTTTTCCTCTTCGCGATATCTGAATTCGTGAGGTGTGGGGACTTGTGATTTGCGTGCTCCACACATCCGTGATAACAAACCACGCTGATGACTTTTCGTTAGCTTATGTTGTAGGTAAAGCCACGTCAAGATGATACGCCTTATTTTTATAGGAGCCGTGATTTTTTTGGTCAGCTGGTTGGTAAAGTGGCTTTACCCTCTGCTGGCTTACTGGCGACGCGGCAACAAGTTTCCAGGGCCCAAGTGCCAGTCCTTTTGGGGAAATATAAAGGAGATTCAGGACGCTGGCGGCCTGCATGAGCGGAATGAAAAGTAAGCTATTCTGGTTCTTCCCTGCTCCCCCTTCTAGTCTTGAGACGTCTCAAAGCTTTCCTGCTTCCCTTCTCCTCTCCCGCAGCCATATTGCTTCAACTCTTCCGTTCCCATTTTATGACTTCCTTGGAACGAGGCAAATTTAGTCGTCAACTCACAACGTCTTCCCCATTTCCCTTTCTTCCCACCCCTCCCTCCTCCCCCCCCCCCCGGCGCACCCTTTCTCCCCTCCCCCTCTTTCCCCCCCTCTCTCCCCTTTCCTCACTCTCTCCCTCTCTCTTGCGTGTGCGCGCCTCGCGCGTCTTGAATCGCGGTTCACAGATGTGCTCGCCGCCATGCACGCCAAGTACGGCCCGGTCGTGCGCCTCTGGCTGAGCCCCGTGAGGCTGCTGATATCGGTGGAGGACCCGCAGCAGGTCCGCAACGTGCTCATGCACGCGCGCGAGCGGTCGCCGTTGTACTGCCACGTGATTGAAGCGTGTCTTGGGAAGGACTCGGCTTGCTTCTCTACCTTCATTCAGGTAGGCTCCCCCCGATGCGGGTTTTGAGTCGTCATGATCAATGTGCTCATGCACGCGCGCGACTTGGGAAGAGCTCGGCTTGCTTCTCTAAAAGTGCGAACCTATGAGGACCCGTTTCTTCTGCCCTTTTTTTTCCGTACAATAATGTACCTTCTGTGTTTCTTCTTCCCTGTAGCTTGCCCTGATTTAGGGAGTTTAGCGATGCAACACTTATTCAGTGACGCTGCTCTGTGATACGCAGCCGCGGCCCTGTCCTGCAGACGCACATCCCCTCTCCTCAACTCTTTTCTTCAATCCCTCTAGGTGACTTTTGAGTCGACTCAAAAGTCACCTCTTTTGAGTCGACTCAAAAGTCACCTCTTTTGAGTCGACTCAAAAGTCACCTCTTTTGAGTCGACTCAAAAGTCACCTCTTTTGAGTCGACTCAAAAGTCACCTTGTCCTGCAGACGCACATCCCCTCTCCTCAATTCTTTTCTTCAATCCCTCTACGAGCCTCCTCATTCCCTCGCTTCAATCTGCCCGCAGCCCCGTGCGCGGCGGTCGTTTCTCGACTACCATTGCCACACGACGCTCAAGTTCCAGGTGCACGAGGTGGCGTGCCGCGTGGCTGACGTCACTGCGCGCGAGTGGGGGACGCTCTCCGCGTCTGGCGGAGAGCTGGACGTGACGCAGGCGTGCAAGGACATGGTCGTGGGCGTTTTAGGAGGCTCCTTATTCGGCCCCGCGTTTCCTGACTCGGACCTGCGGGACCGCGTTGCCAGCGATTTGGAGTTTTTCGCGCACTCGGTGCAGGATTTCGCGAGCTTTAGCTTTCTCCCGGTGTGGCTGCCCGCGTACCAGAAGCTCATGCGCGTGGCGGAGGACTATAGGGGGGTGATTCACCAGCTTGTATCGGGTACGTTTGCTAAGGACGTGAAGCAGCAGAGGAGGGGGCACGGTGAGGAGGGGTCCGAGGAAGGAGGGGCAGGAGAATCTGGTAGTGGCAGCGGTGAGGGGGAGGCCAAAGGTTCAGAGGGGCAGACTAAACAGGAGCAGCAGCAGGAGACACAGCAGAAGGCACAGCAGCAGGAGCAGGAGCAGCAGCAGCAGCAGCAGCTGTTAAGGGAGAGCTTCCTCTCTGCAATGCTAGCAGAACGATCCGCTTTAGGGCAACCCGTTTACACACAGGAAGTCGCCCAAGCAGAGGCAGCCGCCCTCATGTTCCATGGATACCTGCTCGTGCCCGCGCTCTTAAAACGGGTACTTGTGTGCCTCTCGCTGCACCCAGAGGTGCAGGATCGCGTTTTCCGTGAGATACGCGCTGTGTGCGGTAATGAGGCACCTAAAGACGAGGACTTACTGCGTTTGGATTACCTGAATGCGGTGATATACGAGGCAGCGCGGTGCATGCCGGTTTTTCCCATGCTTACTCGCGCTGCTGTGAACGAAGATCTATGGCTGTCTGCGCCTAGCAGCAGCAGCAGCAGCAGCAGCAGCAATGGCAGCAGCAGCAGCGGCGGCAGCAGCGGCAGCGGTGGCAGCGGTGGTAGCGGTGGTAGCAGCGGCAGTGGTGGGAACGGCGGCAGAGGTGGTGTTGGTGTTGCTAGAGGCTGGGACACGGGTGGTCGTAATGGTACTGAGCGAGGTAATAACGGGGAGGGGGCGGGTGGTAGCGGTGGGAGCGGCAGCAGCAGCAGCAGCAGCAATTTCCACTTGGTGCCGTCAGGGGCGATTCTAACCTTGCCTGTGTACCAGCTACAGCTGAACCCGGCCCTGTGGGGAAGCGACGCAGCAGATTTCAACCCCGATAGGTTCATCCACTTCCGCTGGCACGGCCCTCAACAGCAGCAGCACCACCACCAGCACCACCACCAGCACCACCACCAACGGGAGCCCCGCGCTCACTCCTTTGCCCAATGGGACAGCCGCGTGGGCGTGGGCCTAGGCCCTATGGGTCACCGGGAGGGGCCGCAGAGGGTTGTAGGAGCCGGGACCGGGCGGCAGGGCGAGGAGGGAGGTAGAAAACCAGGGGAAGCAGCGGGTGCGAGCGGTGCGAGAGGTGCGAGTCCGTGGAGTAGGGAGGGGAAGATGGTACCGGGGCATGACTATGAGTTTGTGGCGCCAGAGCCGGGGCCGCAGTTTCTTATGTTTGGTGCGGGCGCGCGGTCGTGCGTGGGCCAGCGGCTGTCACTGAAGATCATCCGCGCTGCTGTCGCCATCCTGCTGCACCGATTCGAGGTCAGCAACAAACCACACCACCCCCGCCTTGCTTCCGCAACCCCGCGTTGCTTCTGCACCACCGCCTTCCACACCACTGCCACCTGCTTTTGACCTGTTTTGTTTGCATTTATCACCTTCATTTTTCTTTTTTGCTATTGACGCCCCTCTTGAGTTCAAAGTGCTGCACCTGCACCTGCACCTGCACCTGCTCGTAAGGTGCCTAAAGTATGTACCATTCTCTTTCCCGCCTGTCATTCTCCAACAGTTCTCCATGTCACCAGACATGCCCAAGGAGTTTGACACGCGTCTCGAGTACATGGTGCTGCACCTGCACCCCACGCCCCGCCTCAAGCTTGCTGTTCGCTCCTAGGTAGCTCCTGCTAGCCCCGCCAAGCCCCGTCTAGCCCCGCCAAGCCCCGTCTAGCCCCGCCAAGCCCCGTCTAGCCCCGCCAAGCCCCGTCTAGCCCCGTCAAGCCCCGTCTAGCCCCGCCTAGCCTTCCTTCGCCTACTTTCACCTGTCCTAGCTTCTTCCCTCTTCCTACGCATGCTTCCTATACCCCTGGATAGTTTTCCACATCCCTCTCCGCAACTGCAATGCTGATCCTCGCCCTCGTCCTGGGTTAGTGCCCTTTATTTCTCTGCCTTTCCTCCTCCTTTCCTCCTCCTTTCCTCCTCCTTTCCTCCTCCTTCCCTCCCCCTTTCTACCCCCTCCCCTCCACCTCTCCTTGGATTCTGACCACACCACACCTTTTGCTCGCAGTGCCTTCGCTCTTTATTCTATCAGCTTTTGCGACCTTACAACCTTACCACCCACGTCTTCATGCATTACAACCTTACCACCCACGTCTTAATGCATTACAACCTTACCACCCGCGTCTTCATTTCTTACATTTGAGACGTCTCAATGCCTTGCAACCTTACCACCCACCCCTTCTATGAACCAACCGCTGGGGCCGCTTCATGGATCTTGCACCTCCCCCACATCCAGTTCTCTCCTTCCTTAGTTGCCCCAGCACTGCTATCCGTCTCGTTTCACAATACACTGGTTGGTGCCTGAAGCACCAAGTTCTGCTGGGCCAAGAACCTCTGTTGAAGTAACTGCAGCAGCAGCGGCGGCGGCGGCGGCAGCGGCAGCAGCAGCAGCAGCAGCATGATTGATGTGCCTGATTCGATTTGTTCATCCAGCGAGCCTCACCTTTGTCCCAACACCTGTGGAGCACATGGTGTTTTTGGGGGAAGGAGCCGACACATTCACCGCTCCCTTTTCCCCTAATCTGGTTTGTGCTTTGCATTAGCAGTAGGCATGGTGGTTCAAGTGCTTGTGCCTGTGCCTGTGCCAGAGCCTGTGCCTGTGCCAGTGCCTGTGCCTGTGCCCGTGCCCGTGCCCGTGCCCGTGCCCGTGCCCGTGCCCGTGCCCGTGCCCGTGCCCGTGCCCGTGCCCGTGCCCGTGCCCGCGCCTGTGCCCGTGCCTGTGCCCGTGCCTGTGCCCGTGCCTGTGCCCGCGCCTGTGCCCATGCCTGTGCCTGCGCCTGTGCCCGTGCCTGTGCTGGTCCCCAAACCTGCCCTTGTGACATCTTTTTCTGTTATCTAGGTGTGCTAGACTTCCAGGCTGCATCCAGCATGACCAGTCTTACCAGTACGTAGATGTTCTTTTGTGGAGTGTACACCTGACTGTGCCTCCATTTGCCTGACAGTACTTGCTGCCGGCCCAAAAGGGGAAGGACTATGGCAGTACGGGGTACCGTAGCTTTTGGCTTGCTTTCTGCTAGAATCAGTCCAATGTGGTCACTTGCACAGCCGCCAGAGCACTAGAGCCATCACACATGTGCTTGCTTGCTTGCTACCGATTGACCAGGTGTTTTGAGTCGACTCAAAGCACTGGATCCATCACACATGTGCGTGCCTGCTACGGTACTGATTGACCAGGTGTTTCTCACTTCTTTGGCTAGAGCAAGTGATCTACCGGTAGGCTTCTTTGAATAAAACCTACCAGCGCCGTATCATTTCAGAGAGCAAGTGAGGAGGCGAAGCAACCTTCACTTCCAGCCGGAGCAGAAGCAAGACCCTCCCCTCACCTCACCCTAGACCCTTCCACTTTCACTTCTACACTGCCATTCACTTGGTCCTCTCAATCCTGTACAGCATACCGGTACACATGTCACAACATTTCACTTTCAAGCAGAGCAGATGCAATCTCCCATACGCTCTCATTCCCGCTGGTTGGCCCTTCCCGTGAAGTGACAGAAACTCAAACTCCCTCATCCTACAGTCTTCACTTCACCCCGATAACTTCACTTGCCAGCAGGAGCAGATGCAAAAATCTTCTCCCATGCACTCTCATCCCCGCCCGGGCCCTCCCCTTCCACTGACAGCATCTCAAACACCTCGTTTTCAGCCGCCTTCAATCCCAGCGCCTGCACACACCCCTCTGCCAGCACCACTCGGCTCGTCTCCCCTGAAAACGTATCGCTCCCTCTCCTCACCTCCACCGCCTTTCTCATCCCGGCTGTTGCCTTGAGCAGCGTGTTCAGGTCGTAACTGGTGTAGGGTCCGTCTGTGAGCCTGCCCGGGCGCAGGATAGTGTACGGGATGCCCGAGGATTTTACGAGGTCTTCAGCCATTTTTTTGTACTTGAGAACCCCGAAGAGGTTGAGAATGGAGTAGGGCAGCTGGCTGTAGCGCTCGACACCGGCTGATGAGACGAAGACGATGCGAGACAGGTCTTTAGGAAGAGCCGCTAGGAGGTTCTTCACCCCGATGTAGTCTGGAGAAGGGGCCGGGAGGGGGTGAAGAGAGAGAGGGGAAATATGAATGTGTAGGGCAGCTGGTTGTAGCGCTCGACGCCGGCTGATGAGACCAAGACAAGGCGGGACAGGTCACGGGGGAGTGCGGCTAGAAGGTTCTTCACTCCGACATAATCTGGCGAAAGGGAGAGGGGAGGAAGAGGGTGACATGAGCATGTGAGGAAATGAATGGATGGAGTAGGGCAGCTGGTTGTAGCGCTTGACGCCGGCTGATAAGACCAAGACAATGCGGGACAGGTCATGGGGGAGCGCCGCTAGAGGGTACTCCGATGTAGTCTGGGGAAGGGAGAGGGAAAGGAAGAATGTGTCATTACCTCATGAACGTGAGGAAGCTTGTGAGAGTGGGGAAAGAAACTACGTCCGGTTCCATTTGTCCTCAATGGTTCCCAACACACCCCAATGGCTGCGGATTCACCGGCAAGGGCAGAAAAGGCGTACAAACGTACCCGTTCGCCCAGCCCATTGACTTGGTCCCAGCGTTTGGACAGGAAAGCAAGAATCGCCAATGGCCCACAACACATCCCAATAACCGAAAGCACACCGGACAAGATCGCAACAAGCATGGAATGGGAACGCACCTGTTTGCTCCGGGCCGTTGTCGCCGACCCACCGTTTGGACGGGAACGAAAGAATTCCAACAATGGCCAGCACACGCCATCCCAGTAATCGAAAACGCGCCGCACACCAGCAATGTCGCAACGAGCATGGAATGGGAACGCACCTGTTTGCTCCGGGCCGTTGTCTCCGTCCCACCGTTTGGATGGGAACGCCGTCGTTCCGACGCAGACAATCGCTGCGGAAATTCCAGTGAAGAGCGCGGGGGAGATGGTGCCAGGCTGGCGGAGATCTGCGGTCACGATCTGAATCAGATCCGCGGGCGCGTCCGCGAAAAGCGACTCGGCTTTCTCAACACTCCTAACTAATGCGCGAACGGCTCGGTTCTTAGCTACGAGCGACGCGACGCATAGCTGACCCACGCCGCCGGATGCGCCGACGACGAGGACTCGTTCTACCGGCGCGTTTGACGGCGAGGAAGCGGGCGACGCGTCCTCGGGAGTGTCGCTCGCTGCCGCAGCGGAGATTACCGCGACGCGCGAGTAGGTGGATTGGCGGCTGTGTCGGTGTTGAGAGGAGGGGGCGGGGAGTACGCGGGTGGAGGGCGCGACGGACAACCGGAGACTGGAAACGCCGGAAATTGCGGGGAGAATGGTGGACGGTTGTTGAATGGTATGGCAGGCATTCGTACGGCGTCTGTGTACGCCCGCGACGGTCGATGGGACAGTGGAAGCACGAAGCGAGCAGCTGGGAGCGACGGCAGCCATTGCTAATTAAATAGCTAGGGTGTTCAAAGAAACGATGGTACTTCCCAGTCACCAGCCGGAACAGGTATGGAGGACAAGGTCGCAAGGAGGTGTCAGTCGGGGCTTGAAAGATAGATATTCCGAGAAATAGATTTGAAGTTCAAGCAAGCAGCAGCTGCAGGAGGTTGTCTAGCCTGCAGTGCATGCCCTGTTTTCTGGCTAAATGCGAGAACAGAAGTTCATGGTGTTGGGGCGTATCTGGCAGCTTGCGGCAAGTCACACATTGTGCTTTCCGGCTGACTTCGAATTGTAACAATGTTATGAATTACTGGCTTTGACGAAATAAGAAATTCTGAAATGGCGAACAGAACCGACCCCAGATCGCAGAATCACAATCTGTGGTGCTTATGAAGGCCACGTCAGACTTCGCGTCGACAAAACTGGGAATTTCTCTGGGTATTCGCTAAAACGAAACTCGTCAAGCGTAAAAAATACATCAAGCTCCGGACTGATAGTACACACAACCTTGGCTGGAAACAAGATTCACCCTTGACCTTGCCAGACCCGTTAGATTCACCATCACAGTCACCATGGATTTCCCGGGGTGTTTCTTGTCACCGTGACGCTATCGTCATTCGGCCCTCCATGTCATCTCTCCACGCGCGACGGCGGTCGTGGTGCGCCGTGGCCGGTCACCTTCAGCGCGTCTTCCGCACCAATCCACTCGCCGTCGGTGCCTCGTTCCGAACCGCCCCACAAGCGACGCGCCAACCAACAGGAAACCTGCTGAGTACCGATGACGATCCGCATCGTCCATCCAACCGTTCATCCGACCGTCCATCCGACCGTCCATACGATCAGACGCATTATCTGGGAACCGGCTCGTCTCCATGGCTTCGTCAAGTAGCCGTTGAGTCAACCCAACGGTCACTTACTCCACATCCTCGCCGTACTCATAGTGGCCTCGCGTTTGGAGCAAGTTGCTCGTTTGGCCGTTGGGGTCAACGGGATTATGGGGGTCATGGGGGTCATGGGGGTCATGTGGGTTTCGACTCCCTGCCGGCACACACCTTGACGAGGCTTTTCTCGACCTCGCACGGTGCTGACGTGGCTCAATCGAATCCTGAGGTCATCGCCTCAGCTGTTCGACCAGGCGAAGATGGGGGGGGTGACTATAGTGAGGGTGCAGCAGTGGTTGGCGATAACGAGGGTGCAGCAACGGGTGACAATAGCGCGGGTGCAGCAGAGGTGGAGGAGCCGAGCATACCGGTTGTGGCGATGGCTGACAGCCGTCCGATCGTTGTGATCGTAGGGCGTCCAAACGTTGGCAAGTCAGCTTTGTTCAACAAGTAAGCAGCGTGATTGCACACCCACTCGGTGGTGCCATTTTTTTTCTTGAAGTAAGGCATTGTTGTGTGACACCCCGCAGATGTTTCTTGATTTGACAGAAACAAACCCCGCTCCACTCTTCTCCACCCCCCTGCACGTGCACTGCACCCATATCATATGATCTCTGTAGGCTGATGCGGCGCAGGGAAGCTCTGGTGTGCGACACCCCGCAGGGCCACATGACCAGAGACGTGCGCGAGGGCGTGTGCTCCTTCTTTGGGCTCCGCTTTCGGGTTTTTGACACAGCAGGACTCGAACCCGCGACCTCTGCTTCTCACCAGGGCCATGATGGTAGTGGGCAGGGAGAGATTGGTGGTGTGAGTAGGGTTATGGGATTTACTCCGAGCCTGTTGGGGAATCTACCAGAGGCGGATCGTGTGGCGATGGAGGCGTCGATTCTGCAACGAACGGCTGAGATCACATCGTACTTGCTGGGGCAGGCAGCAGCGGTGCTGTTTCTCGTGGATGCCAGGTGGGCGTGCAGCGCACTGCACTGTGCCGTGCGCTTATACCGCTTGAAAAAAATCCTTCAGTCTCTCTTCTTCTTCGTTTAGCTCTCCTCTCTCCTTTTCTTTCCATATTCACACTTTTCCCTTTTTGACTCCCACACCACACCCTCACCCTCATCGAAACCCCTTCTTGAAGAGCTGGCGTTCAACCTGCTGACGTGGAGGTTGCTGATTGGCTGCGCCGCTCCGTGCCAAAGCATCGGGTGGTGCTGCTGGCGAATAAGTGCGAGGGGCTGGGCGGCGACAGCACCGGCCTGCTGGCCAGCCACGTGGCTGAAGCCTATTCGCTGGGGTTTGGCGACCCGGTCCCGATATCTGCCGAATCTGGAGAGGGATTGGAGGACCTATATGCGGCTGTGAAGGGACCCGTGGAGGAGAGGGAAAGGGAGATGAGGGAGGAGAGGGAGGAAAGAGAAAGGGAAATGAGGGAACGGAGAGAGGAGGTGGAAGGAAGAAAGATGCCCTTTTCAGGTGAGCACATGCGGCTGTTTTAGTTGGAGGATATATATATATATATATTCCTCATGTGTTTGACTATGGATGCTCCAGTGAGCAAGAGTTCAGGAACTTCAAACCTGTATTCTCACTTAATCAACCAGATGAGAGGCTATTGTAGTACGAATGGATGAAAAGCCCTCTCTCAAGGCTTGAGGCTTGAGGTGTGCAGACCAATGGACTGGCCCTGACTGCTGCTTTTGAATTGGGTGAGCTTCAGAAGGGAATCAGGCAACCTCGTGTGATGCGATGCAATGCGATGCTTTCCCTCCTTCCAACGGTTCCCGTGGGTGGTGTTCTGTGCAGCACAGGGATGAGTCAACGCACAGACAGGGGTGACGACTCTGCGCCGCTGTCTGACGACAGTGAGCACTATGTTGCGCTAAATGGTGATGCTGCTTATGCTGCTGGGACTCTGGATATGACAACATTAGGTGCAGCAGAGGAGGAGGAGGAGGTGGAGGAGGAGGACGAAGCAGCAGCACAAGCGTTGTTAACATCCTCAGCAGCAGCAGCAGAGCCAGCAGCAGGGGCGGCAGAGATACCCCTACAGCTGGCGATAGCAGGTCTGCCGAACGTGGGCAAGTCAACGCTGGTCAACTCGCTGCTGGGCGCCCACCGCGTGCTGACGGGGCCAGAACCGGGACTCACGAGGGATGCTGTGCGGATCAGCATCACGTACCAGGGCAAACCCATGTGGCTGGTGAGATGGGGGGAGGGTGGAGGAGGGGAGAGGGATTACAAGGAGGGTTGGGGTTGCTATGCGCACAAGGAGTTGCTGACGGGGCCTAAACCGGGGCTGACCAGAGGTGCTGTGCGGATTGGCTTTTGAGTCGACTCAAAAGTCAACCGGGGCTGACCAGAGATGCTGTGCGGATCCGCATCACGTACCAGCAAGCCCATGTGGCTGGTGAGATGGCCGGGGGGGGGGGAGGGGAGAGGGATGATAAGGGGGGATGGGGTGCTTGGTGCACAGCGCGCGCTCATAGGGACGAAGCCAGGACCCACTAAGGGGGTCGGTGTCACGACTTATTCCTGAAACCCTCCGAACCGCTCTGAACCTCACACCAGGTGGACACAGCGGGGTGGGTGAAGGCAGCGCAGGCGAGGCAGAGGGGGGGCGGTGTCACGAGTTCTTCCTAAACCCCCCCGAACCGCGCTGAACCCCAATTTCAAATCCGTGCCTCTCCTATGGCAGGTGGACGGACACAGCGGGGTGGGTGAAGGCAGCGCAGGCAAGGCAGGGGGGGCTGATATCACCACTGTTTCGTATACACCTCTGGACCGCTCTGAACCGCATGGCAGGTGGACACGGCTGGGTGGGTGAAGGCAGCACAGGCGAGGCAGAAGGGGCCGGTGTCGCTGGCTCGAATGGACATGGAGAGGAGCATTGGGCGCGCGCACGTGGTGGTGCTGGTGCTGGATGCTGCTGTGGTGAGTTGATGTCTGATCGTCTGATGTGCCTTAATAAGTGCCGGTGGTGCTGTGGTGTCGCTGGCTCGTATGGACATGGAGAGGAGCATCGGGCATGCGCATGTGGTGGTGCTCATGCGCATGTGGTGGTGCTCATGCGCATGTGGTGGTGCTCATGCGCATGTGGTGGTGCTCATGCGCATGTGGTGGTGCTCATGCGCATGTGGTGGTGCTCATGCGCATGTGGTGGTGCTCATGCGCATGTGGTGGTGCTCATGCGCATGTGGTGGTGCTCGTGCGCATGGTGCTCCATGCCGCAGTGGCGAGCTGTTGGATTGATGCGGAGTTTTACTTCAAGGTTGAATCCTGAAGATACGAGATGTTACTTGTGACAACTCTCAAAAGTAACCTCAGCGTTCTACGGGAAGGGTGAATCAGAGCGTCCCGAGTTGACTTTTGAGTCAACTCAAAAGTCAACTCAGACTCTCTAACTGGTGCTACCACACCACTAGCAATCAGAGCTTCCCGAGTTGACTTTTGAGTCAACTCAAAAGTCAACTCAGACTCTCTAACTGGTGCTACCACACCACTAGCAATCAGAGCTTCCCGAGTTGACTTTTGAGTCAACTCAAAAGTCAACTCAGACTCTCTAACTGGTGCTACCACACCACTAGCAATCAGAGCTTCCCGAGTTGACTTTTGAGTCAACTCAAAAGTCAACTCAGACTCTCTAACTGGTGCTACCACACCACTAGCAATCAGAGCTTCCCGAGTTGACTTTTGAGTCAACTCAAAAGTCAACTCAGACTCTCTAACTGGTGCTACCACACCACTAGCAATCAGAGCTTCCCAAGTTGACTTTTGAGTCAACTCAAAAGTCAACTCAGACTCTCTAACTGGTGCTACCACACCACTAGCAATCAGAGCTTCCCAAGTTGACTTTTGAGTCAACTCAAAAGTCAACTCAGACTCTCTAACTGGTGCTACCACACCACTAGCAATCAGAGCTTCCCGAGTTGACTTTTGAGTCAACTCAAAAGTCAACTCAGACTCTCTAACTGGTGCTACCACACCACTAGCAATCAGAGCGTCCCGAGTTGACTTTTGAGTCAACTCAAAAGTCAACTCAGACTCTCTAACTAGTGCTACGACACCACTAGCAATCAGAGCTTCCCGAGTTGACTTTTGAGTCAACTCAAAAGTCAACTCAGACTCTCTAACTGGTGCTACCACACCACTAGCAATCAGAGCTTCCCGATTCTTGTTTTGAAACTTCCATTCCCCCTTTTTTATCTGCATGTATTCCTGCCAATCACCTTCTGCCAGGTGGCGGAGGAAGAGAAGTCTCTGAAAACAGCTGAGAGGTCGCTGGCGCGGTGGGTGTGGGAGGAAGGGCGCGCGTTGGTAATAGCGGCCAACAAGATGGACGCGGTGGGGGGCGACAGGGACAAGCGGTGGGTGCGCAAGAAGGTCAGACGGGCCGTGCCTGTGGAGATCGCTGCACTGCTTCCGCAGGTGGGTGATGGAGGCTCTGTGTTGGGGTGTCACTAGAGGGACATTGGGCGACAGGGACAAGCGGTGGCTGCGCAAAGTCAGACGGGCCGTTCTGGTGGAGATTGCTGCTCTGCTGCGGTGGGACAAGCGGTGGGTGCAGGATGGTTGGTGTTGGGGCATGGCGTGTTGGTCTTTACTGACCTTCCCTGTCTTGGTGTTTCATGTTGGTCTATCTCTTGGTGTCTCTCCCAGCCCAGATGCAGAACGCACCCTCGCTTTTTCACAGGGGATTCGGAGTCGACTCAAAGCCTTTCAGGCCGTCTTTGGCACTCTCAAACCATCTCAGACCGTCTCAGACCATTTCAGACCGTGTCAGTCAGGTGGACCTAGTCATTCCTGCTGCCCTTGGCCCTTCCCTCTCAGGTGCACAACGTGCCGATAGTGTTCACGTCAGCACTGCACGGGGAGGGAGGCAAGGAGCTCATGCAAGCAGTGTCAGATGCGTACGACCGGTGGAACACCATGCTGCCTGCTGCGCGCCTCAAGCACTGGCTGCCACAGGTGAGTTGCCTTTGAGCGGCTTGGTGGCATGGAAACGCAGGGCAAGGAGGTGATGTGCATGCAGGCTGTATCAGATGCGTATGGCTGGGGGAACACCTTGCTGTCACAGGTACCTTTTGAGTGGACTCAAAAGTCACCTCCTTGCAGGCTGTATCAGATGCATACGGCCAGGGCAACACCATGCTGCCACAGGTGCCTTTTGAGTCGACTCAAAAGTCACCTCCTTGCAGGCTGTATCAGATGCATACGGCCAGGGGAACACCATGCTGCCACAGGTGCGATTGAGGCGTGTGCTGAGTGACTTGGTCACAGGTATGCTTGGGGTGAATGAATGTTGAGTTGACTCGTGCGACCAGCTCCCTCTGTACTTCCTGTAGAGGTATGCTTTAGTATTGTGTTAGCGCACTAGCTGTGTTTATAACATGTTAGACCAGTGCCCATGCATGCCTTTCTTACCCCTCTTCCTCTCCCTCTGCCTCTTCCCACCCCACCTGCCCTACCCAGGTTCTCAGGAAGCTTCCTGGATCATGCACCGCAGCTTCCGTAAAGAGCATCGTGCAAGTCAAGTCACGCCCGCCCACCTTTGTGGTCCGAGTAACCGCTGCTGCTGCAGGGGACCGGTCTCTCGCCCGCTTCTTCTCCTCCAAGATTGCAGCTGACTTTGGGTTTGACGGCGTGCCGGTGCGTGTGGTGCTACGGACCAAAGACGGCACCAGATGGTGATGGGTGATGATGCTTGTGTGGTAGACCGTGGTTAATGCCGTTGCTGCTGCAGGGGACCATGCTCTCTCCCACTTCTTCTCATCCAAGATTGCAGCTGACTTAGGGTTTTACGACGTGCCGGTGCGTGTGGTGCTAAGAACCAAGGAAGGCACCAGATGGTGATGCAAGTTGCCTAGTGCACAAACTAGCCAATAAATCAGGGTTAACTGCTTGATTGAGGTGGTTGAAGGATTCGTGCTGAGGCTCGGGTCACAGGTCAGGGCTGAGGCACGAGCTATCTGGTGGTGGGCGAAAACCTAGTTAGTTCTAACGGCCAATGGACGAGGAAAGATTTGTAAACTGCTGGAATGAAGCCCTTTCCTGATAGAATCATATCTAGGTTCCTACTGTGCAACATTGTTTTTTGTCAGCTCAGAATCCTTGTACCAAACCCCAGCGAAACTGAGGCTGCATGTTGTTGAGACCGCAATCACTCCATCAATTTGTATATGTGCTGCTTGAACTCCGATCAGCTCAGGAGAGTGGGTGTTGTCAGTAGCAGACAGGTGGGCCGGGGAGGTCTTAGTTCCATCAGCTTGAATGTTTTTTAGAACAACAGAACAAACCCCATGAAATGAATGAAGAGAGGAGCCTGGTTAACTGTGAGCTAGAACATTTTCTTAGAGAGCCAGATCGAACAAATCGTGATGTTGCGTGATTGAACTGAGGCTGCGTGATGTCGAGAACGCTATCAATCAGTCGATTCGTATATGTGTTGCTTGGACTCCGATCAGCTGAGCAGAGTGGGCGTGAGCCTGGCAGCTTCCTTGGCTGCCCGCTGCTCCCTCAGCAGTTTAGTCCCCCCCACGCTGCCCCCACAATGGGTCATTTCATAGACGTGCCGTTCAAACTGACTCCAATTAGCTGAGCAGAGTGGGCGTAATCCGGGCAGCTTCCCTGGCTGCGCGCTGCTCCCCCAGTAGGATGGACCCACCAACAGCCGCCCCCACGATGCCCGCCTCGTTGCGCATCTCCGCTGCCACTATAGGCGTTCCCCCTGGCGCTGACAACAGGTGCAGGAACTGCAGGGAAGATGGGGGTGAGTGGTGGAGGGGGGGCAAGGGGGGAATTGTAAGTAACCTTACTCGAGGCATCTCTGCTGCCACTATGGGCGTGCCCTCTGGCAGTGGACAGCAGATGCAGGAACTGATGGGGAAGGTGGGAGCGAGGAGAGGGGGAAAGGAAGGTGCGGTTTGAGTAGGAGACTGGAGTCATTTCCGCTGCCACTATGGGCGTTCCTCCTGACACTGATAGCAGATGCAGAAACTGCGGTGGGAAGGAGGGGATCAGGGAAGGAAGTGAGTTGAGAGATAGGCGAGAGACAATGCAAGCGTGGGAGCGCAACTAGCGTTGCATGCATGCTTTCTGCTTACCGTACTCTATCTCATCTCACCTTCTCATCTTTCTTGCTGATGCCTCCACCAATCACCTGCAAGCAACGGCACAGCACCACACAGCACCACACAGCACCAAACAGCACCACACAGCACATAGATATTGTCAGCTCGCACGCATCGTGACGCAACTGCATTGAAACAACCATAAATGTACGCTGGAGCGAAGGCTACAATGCAGTTAGCCTGTCCTCCCTATAGGTCCATGCAGTAGGCCTATACTCGCTGTAAGGTCCGCCCGGAGGTATGCTCCATACTTTGTGCGAAAATTTCTTCTCTATAACTTATTTTCTTCTTCTGCACCTGTTGCAGTGGCCTACACTGAAATCTAGAGTCTATGAAGCTAAAGGTAGTGCTCCACGCGCCACAGCTAATCATGTCCCCCCCCTGCTCACCTTTACCGGCTAATATACGTTGTCTCCTTAACACTGACACATTGTCTACCCTGTACACTTCGTACTCGATTTAGTACAAAGCACTCACTATAAGATCCGGCTGGAGGTAATGCTCCATGCGAGCCAGGTACTCGTTCACCCGCCCAGCCCACTTCCCTTTCAGCTCATATCCATCTTCTCCGCATCAATAACAGAGCGCCCATTTTGTACAATCTGTACATGATAAAGTATGTGATACTTACAATCAGATCCGGCTGAAGGTTATGCTCCATGCGAGCCAGGTATTCGTTCACCCGCCCAGCCCACTTCTTCGTACCTGGTCCTTACCACCGGCAGTGCGCCAATTTTGTACACCCTGTACACGATACAGTACTTAGTACTCACTATAAGATCAGGCTGGAGGTAATGCTCCATGCGAGCCAGGTACTCGTTCACCCGCCCGGCCCACTTCTTCCAGCTCAATTCCAACTTCTCCTTCACTGCTCCAGACGCCACCTTCTCGGCAATTTCCCCATTGACCTCTATGTGCCCCATCTCTAGGTTCGGCACCAGATGGCCGCCCACGAACAGCGCCGTGCCTATCCCCGTGCCGAACGTGGTCATCAGGACCGTGCCTTCCCGCTGCAAGGGCCGGCCGGCGCCGAACCTCATTTCGGCGAATCCTGCTGCATCCGCGTCGTTGATTGCTGCCACCTGGCAGCCTGTGGCGCGTTGGACGAGATCAACAGCGTCGATGTTGATCCAGGACTTGTCAACTGAGGAGACAAGGCGGGGAGCAAACGTTGTTTCGGAGGTGGTGATGTTTGGAAATGGGGGGAGAAGTTAGAATCACGGACAGTACGGATCCATGGTTAGATTCTGGTTAGCTCCATTCCCCAACGCATACATTCATCTTAAAATAAGTCGTTGCTTCAAATTACTTCCGTCCTGCTCTAGGATCAATGTATTGTTATTTATTGTACTCACTATTGGCCGCGCTGCGGACGATGCCACGTCGGACGACAGACGGAACTCCAATCCCGATTGGTCCATCCCACTGGCGAGGTATTTGAAAGGAGACGGGAAGAGAGAGAGAGGGGAGTTCAAGCCAAAATGCCACGACGGAAGGAGCAAGAAAAACCAATGGGTCCTGAGTGTTCTCTAGTAGTCAACACGCCATAAGACTAGGCTGAAAAAACAAAACAAAAAAAATGTTTCCAAGCTAGCATTTGACAGCAAGTGCACTCGCTTGTAAATGCTCCTTGATCCGACGTGAAGACTAATTTGTTTCGAGACGTCTCGAAACAACTTCACATCGACGGGAAGTGCACTCACCCTGAAATGCTCCTTGATCTGCCTGATGACGCCAGCGACGGCCTGAGGCGTGGCGGGATTGGGCGTGGGGATTCGGTATCGCTCCAGCAGCAGCGTGCCAGTCGCCACGTCCACCGGCGCTCCCTTGATTCCCGTCCCGCCGAAATCCAATCCCAGGACGATCGACAGCTCGTCCTCGTGGTGTCTCTCTCGCAGCATGATTTCCCGCCAATGCTGCGGATCCCGGTGGAAAAGTTCCATTGGAGGTACCGGCACGTGGGGATGGATAATGGGTGTGGTGGATTCGTGCTGATGCTGCTGCTGGAATTGCAACGTGGAGAACAGGGATTGGTTGGCGGAGCCGAGATTCGACGAATTGGAGGGAGGCGGCGGGGTCGAAGAGACGGCCGTTGTGGCAGCGAGAATTGGAAATGCAGACTTGGAGTTTTGACACGAACGAACAGCAGAGGAGGATAGCTTGAGGTTGCTCTTTCGCCAAGAGTGCAGAGGAACGAGTTGGCCGGAATGATGCAGGGAGGCCATGGCTGAGGCGGGACTTGAATGCAATGAGGATGACCGAGCACAGGCACCAGGGACTGAACGAGTCAATGCGACGGGAGAGGCTGAGGCTGACAGGGACACCGCCATAAATCGAACAGCTTTAGAGAATGCAGGTTCGGAAAGGCGAGATCCGCGGGGATAAAGCGGGTTGACGATCCCTGCAGCAAACAATAGAAGGTTTCCTGACGGGAGCAGGAAATGGTGTGAAGCAAAAAAAATCTCCGAATTTGAGATTCGGAATTTGGGTGTGGCAGCTGCATTCCCCACAGAGCGACAGCAGCGGAACAGCAGGGAGAAATGAGGGGAGGTGGGGGAAGGAAGGGCGGACATGAGGGGGGAAATGAAGGTGAAAGGACGGGAGGGGAAGTGTGATGGGCGGGCAGCGCATCATCTTCAAGTAAGGCGGGGCGGAGATGATCAGCGCAGCGGAGCAAAGCCCGCGAAACCAAGACACATTCCTCCAAGTTACCGTTGCACTGTACAACTCCCGTTTTTTCGCGAATGGCCTTTGAGGCGAGGCCAATCGCCTGGCATGGCATCAAAATTCGCCATGCCCATGCCCCGTCAACAAGCCGCGCACCCACCCAAAAAGTCCGCGCTCCTTCGTGGCCATTGCAAAAGCTGACGTGTTTTTGCCCAATGACGAGCAAATGGATTTTCCGCAAAAATCTGTAGTAGTAGCTCTGTAACAGTGCTCCACGATGTCCTCTAGTAATTAGATTTATTATCCAACAGGCTGTAATTAATCTCATGTTGCATAGTACACTTCCCACCACCACTAGTAGTGGGGCAGTGGCCCATTTGTAACATCAACATTTTACGAGAGGACATTACGGGCTGTGATATTAAAATTAGGGAGCGCTACAGTAAAGATCGAAGCCTTTACAAATCTGTCAAATGTGTAGCCTGTAGTGAGGCTTGTCTTAGGGGGTACATCTGTTAAAGTTTCTACGGTATATGTACCCCAACCACATCAATGAAACACAACATTCTCTCATTCTAACATGGTATCAGCTAGTTGGATCCTATTGGATCCCGATCCTCCCGTTCCCGTTCGTTACGTCCGAGCCTCTCGTTACTGTTACGCCCGAGCCTTCCGTTAGCGGTAGATCGCATGGTCGCGCCTTCCCCCCCGCTTCTCGTCGCGTCACGCCGCCCTCCAGGGCTGACGTTTCATATTAGGCCCCCCTGATTCCGGGGAAAAATTTCCCCCTCTATTATGAGTGCACATTTTTCAGAATGATGCTACCCTGATCGCTCAGGGTAACTCTGATTGTTCAGGGTCGAAAATCGAAGATCAGAGTAGTAACGCGCCCTTTTTAACCGGGGAAAAGTCTCGCTTTGCGTTAAGTCTGCGCTATGTATTTCGCGCACACCTTGTGCGCGCTAATTTCCACCATTTTAGTTTTACGAAACAGTATTTATCTGCACGTTTTAGCGCGGGGAAGAGACGGCCAACCAAACATTTCGATTCGATACCACATTTCGTTTTACATCGCCGAGTACCTGGATGTCGCCAGCATCGCTGTGCGAAACGCTAAATATGTCTGGTAACTTCACGCACACGCAATGACGATAGTAGAACGACCTATTCAAAATGCATGAAAATATCATACACTAAGTGTACTCACCTGTCAGACATGCTGTCCGTCGCTCACGCGCTGGCTGTACAGCCCTGCTGTACCGCGATCAATCCGAAGGGGGATTGTCAAACATTATATGTTTGTATTGTTCTAGCCTGTAGTGGGTGATACCTTAGGGGGTACACCTAGTTAGGGTTTCACATTTGTACTCCTGTTTCTCTTAGTCACAGTCATTCCAGTCTCGTAATTTTGACATGGTTTCAGAGCAGGTCCTTCCCTAGGACCGTTCTTAAGGGCCCACCTACCTACCTACCTACCTACATACCTATCAAGCGCCCCTAGTGCGCCTCCTATTGCGCCCCTAGTGCGCCTCCTATTGCGCCCCTAGTGCGCCTCCTATTGCGCCCCTAGTGCGCCATCTTTTTTTTTTTACCGCGCGCGATCTGCTAGCCGCCCGCGCGCGGCCTATTTCGTGCGCGCGACCAGCCAGCAGCCCGCGCGCGGCCATTTTTCGCGCGCGGTTAGCTAGCCGCCAGCGCGCGCGGTTCTTTTTCTTCGCGCGCGGCCCGTCGCGCTGCCCGCGCGCCTTGTGTGCTGCGCTCGACCCCCCGCGCCTTCGTCGCCGCGGTCGGGCCTGCAGCAACAGCCGCGGCAGAGACTGCAGTCGCGGCCGTCGCAACTGCTGCAGCAGCCGCCGCCGCCTCTCCTGCCGCGGCCGCCGCTGCATCTACAGCAGCTGCAGCCGCCGCATCTACTGCAGCAGCCGCCGCTGCAGCTACAGCAGCAGCAGCCGCCGCATCTTCTGCAGCAGCCGCCGCTGCATCTACAGCAGCAGCAGCTGCCGCATCATCTACAGCAGCGGCCGCCGCCGCATCTACGGCAGCAGCAGCCGCCGCAATCTACAGCAGCGGCCGCCGCAGCTACAGCAGCATCAGCCGCCGCTGCCTCTGCAGCAGCCGACCCAGCAGCAGCAGCCGCCGCCGATCCTGCAGCAGCCGCAACCGCCGAGTCTACTCCATCGGCCGCCGCCGGCCCTGCAGTCCCTACTGTAGCCGAACCTGCAGCAACTGCCGCCGCTGTCGCGACTGCCCCGGCCCTGCCTTGCCCTGCTGCTACTGTCACTGCCACGTTTATTACTTACTTTTCCTCCTCCTGCTACCATGGCTACTGCTCCTGTTCTAGCCTTCGACGCTGAGGGCCGCCCAGTGAAATTTGACACCTGGCTCGATGATCTGCACCTTTTCCTACAGCTCACTGCCAAGGAAGACATTTCACTGTACGACCACGCCCTAGGCCATGCTACTGCCCCTGACTCCTCTGCTGCTAGCACACTGCGCTCCCAGTGGCAGACCCGCGACGCACACGCTCGCTTTGCTATCCGCAACTCCCTGCCGCTAGATGAGCGCGAGCACTTCGGCCAGTGCAAGACTGCTAAGGAACTGTACACAGCCGTAGTTGCTCGCTACTCCTCGCCTGCGTCTGCCACCCTAGGCCGCCTCTCCCTGCCCTACCTGTTCCCCGACCTGGCCTCCTTTCACACTGTCGCTGATCTCATCACCCACCTCAAGACTAGTGAGGCCCGTTTTCGCGCTGCTATGCCTGCCGAGTTCCTTGCTAGCAACCCCCCCCCGCTCTGGCTCACCCTCTACCACATTGTCACCCGCCTCCCTGACTCTCTGCGCACAGTCAGGGACTCCTTTCTAGCTCGCTCCCCTACTGAGCTCACCATTGCCCTCCTCGAGAAGGACCTACTTGCAGCTGAGGCGAGCATCGTCGCCGTAGGTGCCTCTCGTGGCGAGCCCCGCACCCCCTTCTTCGAGGGGTGTTCCCCTTCCCCCCTTCTCCCCTCTGTCGCCACTGCTGCTGCTGTCGACCTCCTTGGTGCTGAGAAGGTCGGGGCTGCGTCTGCTTCGAGCGGGCGCCGCAAGAGCAGGGGGGGCAAGGGTGGGGGTGGAGGCGGGGGAGGCGGGGGTGGAGACAGTGGAGGTGGCGGTGGGTCTGGAGAGGCTAGTGGCGGCAGTGGGGGTGGTGACAGCGGCGGCGGGGGTGGTGGCAGAGGCGGAGGTGGCAGCGGCGGCGGTGGCGGTCGTGGCCGTGGCAGGGGTGGAGGTGGCCGAGGCGGTGGCGGTGGCGGTGGTGGTGGTGGCCGTGGAGACGCTGGAGGTGGCCAGAGTCAGCAGCACGCCCCGACCCTCCAGGCCGCCCGTGAGTGGTACGCGCAGCGTGGGTACACTTGCACGTACGTCATCCGCACTGGTGACCGCACTGGCCAGCCATGTGGGAGGCCGCACCCCACGCAGCGCTGCTTCCAGCGCCTGACTGACGCGTGGCGCATCCAGTTTCCTGGGTCTACTGAGCTCCCCCGCTGGCCTGAGCTGGAAAAGAAGGGTGTTGATATCTGGGCTTTAGACTTTGATGCTATTCTCACTGCTATGTATGCGATGTCTATTAGTGGAGAGGGTGCCCAGTACTTGCGTGTTCCGCCCGACCCGGGCATTCAGGCCAGCCCAGCTGCTGCTCTAGGTGCTAGTGTGTCTGCTCCCACAGGTCCTGCTGCAGCAGCTGCCCTAGGTGCTAGTGCGTCTGTGCCCCCTGGTACTGAGTCGACTGTAGCACTGCACACCTTCACACTGGACTCAGGTGCTTCTCGCTCTTTCTTTCGTGACCGCACTGTCCTTGAGCCACTAGCTCGGCCGGTTGCTGTCTCTCTTGCTGACCCCTCTGGGGGTCCGGTCATTGCGACCTCCTCCACTACACTTCCGTGTCCAGCGGTTCCGTCCGGCACGCTCTCAGGTCTCTACCTCCCCTCGTTCTCTACGAACTTGGTGGCAGGTTGTGCGCTGCAGGACGGGGGTGTTCACCAGTTCACCCCTGCCTACGAGCGTGTGACACACTGCACGTGTGCTCGGACGGGCCGCCACCTGGCTACTTTCACTCGAGAGCCGGGGTCGGACCTGTACACACTGACCACTGAGTCCCCTCAGGTAGCTGCGTCTGCGTCTGCGTCAGGTCAGCTGTCCGCCCCCTGCTCGTGTCGCTCTCTGGCGCATGAGACTGTCCTCTGGCACCACCGCCTTGGTCACCCGTCTGTGCAGCGCCTTCGGGCCATGCACAAAC